GAGCAGGGGAATGATAGAGAGGAGGGCAGATTGGGAAAGGGGGTAATCAGAAGCAAACACTTCTGAGGAGGGACAGGGTCAAAAGAAAGAATAGAATAAATTGGGGGGCAGGATAGGATTAAGTGAAATAGAGTTAGTTTTTCACAGCATGACTACTATGGAAGTGTTTTGCACAACTGCACATGTATAACCTATATTGAATTGCTTGCCTTTTCAATGAGGGTGGGTGGGGAGGGAGGAAGGGAGAAAGTTTGGAACCCAAAGTTTTAAAAACATATGTTTCAAAAAATGTTTTCACATGCAACTGGGAAACAAGAAATACAGAAAATGGGGTACAGAAATCTATTCCGCCCTACAGGAAAGCAGAAGGGGAAGGGGATAAGAGAAGCGGGGGAGAGATACAAGGGAGGGTAGACTAGGGGAAGGGGTATTCAGAATGCATGCCATCTTGGGGTCAGGGCAGGGGCAAGATGGGGTGAAAATTTGGAACTCAAAATCTTGTGGAAGTAAATGTTGAAAACTAAAAATAAATAAATTTAAAAAGAAAAAAGAAAAGAAAAAAAGAAAAAAAATCCTTGTTCATTGATTGAAAGAAAGGATGGATTGGATGATGACTAGACAAATTGGGGTACAAGAATATAATGAACTATTACTACACTGGAAAATTACAAATATGAAGACTTCAGAGAAACATAGGAAGACTTATCTGAACTGATACTGTACAAAGTAAGCAGAACCAGGAAAAACAGTATGCCCAATGACTATGACAATCTAAATGGAAAGGACAAAACAGGGACATTGATCACTAATGAAATTAGAACAGCCAAGTTAGGTCCTGGAGGGGAGATGAGAAAATGGTTTTCCCTCCCTTCTTTGTAGAGGATGGCACTGAGTATAGAACTTTGCATTTCCTGTCACACTTGATTGATTATTAATTCATTTTGCTGAGCTGCTTTGATTTCTTTTCCACTCATTACAACACCTTTCACAATGGACCTCAGCTCTTTTTTTTTTTAAGCAATTGGGGTTGAGTGACTTGCCCAGGGTCACACAGCTAGTAAGTGACAAGTGTTTGGTCTGAGGCTGGATTTGAACTCAGGTCCTCCTGACTTCAGGGCTGGTGCTCTATCCATTTCATCACCTAGCTGCCCCTGTGGGCCTCAGCTCTTAACTCCTAGAGAGCCTATATTTATCCTTGGGGCAGGCTATCCCCAAAGGGAGGGAATCTGAATTTTCTCATACTCGCTGGATCATTATACACTCACCTCAGACTAGAATTCCAATGAAAGCCTATAAAACAAGGGGCAGTTAGGTGGCACAGTAGATAGAGTGCAGGCCCTGGAGTCAGGAGGACCTGAGTTCAAATCCAGTCTCAGACCAGACGCTTGACACTTACTAGCTGTGTGATTCTGGACAAGTCACTTAACCCCAATTGCCTCACAAAAAATAAAGGGGTGGGGAGCAGCTAGGCGGAACAGTGGATAGAACACCAACCCTGAAGTCAGGAGGACCTGAGTTCAAATCCGACCTCAGACCAAACACATGATACTTACTAGCTGCGTGACCCTGGGCAAGTCACTTAATCCCAATTGCCTAAAAAAAAAAAGCCTATAAAACAAAGGAAGCTTAGGTATGGTTCATGTCTAATGTCTACCTGGAAGGAATTAACAAAGTTCTGTCTGGAAAATGTACTCAGTGTGCAAAATAGAGATTAGGTATAGGACAGCTATTTATTTCCTCTACCGCAAAAGAAATTCTTAGAACACAAAAGATTCAAAAGCTTTTTAAGAAATACAGGAAACAGAACAACCCTTTATACCTATTATACTCTGCTAGGAGGTAAGCACAACTCGGTGGGACTGCTAAACAGAGATATGAATTCACGTCAGCTCTAGACTGCCCAAGGAGCTTACAAGGTCCAGATCTGGTGGGCCAGGCCGTGACTTGGACTTGCACAGTCCTTTGGCTGCAGCATCATCCTGACGAGAAATGACAGCCAGCACTGACTCAGGACCTAATGCTCTCTCAGAGTCCTGAGGGTACAGCCAGCGCTAGAAATGTCCATGTCTTAGAATGAGCTCAGTGATCTGGGCTCAGAGAAAGAAACACAAAACAGAAGAGAGAGCCAGGGACTTCAGATCTAATCTCAGGATCAACCATGTGCATGTTGGTCCCCAGTGAAATATCATTAAGGCAGCTAGGTGGTGCAGTGGAGAGGGCACTGGGCCTGCAATCAGGAAGATTTGAGTTCAAATCTGACCCCAGACCCTTACTAGCTGGATGACCCTGGCCAGGTCACTTAACATCTGTCTGCCCTACAGGTGATACTTCCTGTAAATATGTCACTTCTCACCAGCCCAAAGGACCGTGCAAGTCCAAGTCACAGCCTGGCCACTAGATCTGGACCTTGTAAGCTCCTTGGGCAGTCTAGAGCTGACGTGAATGCATGTCTCTGTTCAGCAGTCTCACCGAGTTGTGCTTACCTCTTAGCAGGTATGAAGGATTATTTTGTTTTCTGTAGTTCTTGGCAATTCCAGCTGCCCAAAGGGGCCTAGACTCCAAAGACAACCAGATTGGAAAATGCCACTATGAGGGGGATGGAGGGACCCAGGACCAGCAACAGAGTACAGTTATCCCTTCCACATCGCCACTTTCCCCATCGTGACTTCCATATATCTCAGGTCAACATAAGAAATTAAATGGGGGGGGGCAGCTAGGTGGAGCAGTGGATAGAGCCCCAGCCCTGAAGTCAGGAGGACCTGAGTTCAAATGTGGCCTCAGACCAAACACTTGACACTTACTTGCTGTGTGACCCTGGGCAAGTCACTTAACCCCAATTGCCTAAAAAAAAAAAAAAGAAAGAAATTAAATGGGAACTTTGGGGGAGTTTTGCAGAAGCCACAGATGACATATGCAGGCCAGCAGACAACACAGAAAAAAGTTTAGAAACTCTGAAACGCATAAAATATATGTATAGGATTGTCTAATATCAACACCCCATAAAAGAAAAAGAAAAAATGCAGACTTCCGGTATGAAGGGAGGGCCAAAAAATTCTACGCAGATTTTCTAGATCACAGGGGAGGAAGAGGGGGTTCACCAATGCCCCTGACCTCCACAATGTGGAAGGGATAACTGTATACAGCAGGGACGTCATTGAGGTCATGGAGGCCACAGAAAGTTCCAATGTCAAAGACGACTCAGACTGGCCCCTGGCAGTACCCAGGTTGGGATTGTTCCCCATGAGGCTCTGTGGCTCTCCTGCCTGTTTCCCAGTTGAGTATTTTGGACCTATGTACCTGAAGGTGTCTTCCTCTGCCTTCTACTAATAATCCTTCACATGCAAAGGCTAGATAACCAGAGGGCAGGATGATCAACACAGGAAAGGCCCCTAGCAGTCACTGAATCCAAGCCCCCTATTTTACAGAGGAGGAAAGCTGAGGTTCAGGAAGTAGAGTGACTTTACAAGTTCATAGCTTTGGAACTAGGTCATCTCATCCAGAGAAGGAGGCTGAGTTCTAAGGGAAGTGATGTGACCCGTAAGTCACAGAGTTAGAATTGGATGCCATCTGCTAGACTGAAATGAAAAAGTGCCCCTCCCAGATTCAGTGAATGCAGAGCAGTATGTTAAAGGCAAGACTTTAGTCCTTGGCAGAACTAATCTAGGGATAGATATGGGCACAATTTACATGCCTCCACCGGAGTAGGCCTTGCCTGGAGAGTGGAGCCTTCTCTCTTCTTCCTTACCACCCCCTTGGCTGGGCTCCTATTTTTTTTTTTTTTGGCAGGGAGGATAGAAGGGGCAACAACAGCACAGGAAAACAGGGCAGGGCAGGGGAGGGGTCCTGGGTCCATTCTAGGAAGGCTGAAATTCTTGCCTCCCCCAAGAAGGAAGCTAACTAACTCCCTTAGGGGGAATAAAACCCCACCCCCAGCCAACCACACCTTCTTCCCATCATTAACTGTGGGGTAGCCTCCCCAGCTTGATGGCAATCCCAGAGACAAGGAGGAGGAGGAGACCCAGGGGTCTAGCCTTCCATGCTCCCCTGTGTGTGTGTGTGTGTGTGTGTGTGTGTGTGTGTGTGTGTGTGTGCTTGAGGGTATTTGTGCTTGCCTGTACCTTTGAGCACCCTTATCTTGGAGTAGGGGGGAACTCTGGAGAAAGCGGTGTCCCAGAAACAGTCTAGGACCAGCAGTAGGAGTCTGGAGGGCTGATTTCTTGCCCTGCTTCTTGATACTAACTCAGCAAAATAATTTCCCCTGTCTAGGCCTCAGTTTCCCCACTTGAAAAACAAGGAGTCTGGCTGAGACGGTCTCTGACTCTTTCCAGGGAGAGGAAGTCAATGCTGGCTAGGAGCGTGATGGTGACGGTGGTGGTAGTGGCAGCTGGGTATGGAGGCTCCCCCAATCCTTCTCCCCCTGGCGTGGGGAATCTTGGACAGGAAGTGGGTGGGGCAGGGCAGGTGTGTGTGAGCAGGTCTGACGTCCCTCCCTCCTTGCTCACCGGGGAACCTGGGGGGGCAGCCTGTGGAGGGCGGAGCTGGGCCCCTGCCTGGATGGGGAGATGGAAAGCAATCAGAGCCAGGCGGAGAAGGAGCTGCTGAAACAGGTGAGGAGCCCGAGGTCTGTCGTCCCTCAGTGGCTGACTTTGGCTCATCTCAGGGTTTCGGGGTCTCTGATCTCTTCCTCTGCTCTTTGGTGATTTCTTTGGTGTCTGTCTTAATGTCTGAATGTGTCTCTCACTGGTCTCAGTCTCTCTGGATCTAGTGCCTTTACCTCTCTGCTCCCCCCAACCCTCCCCCTCCCCACACACATGCATACTCACTCGCACACACGCACCCTCCCTGTCCTTGGCTCTGCATTCACAGCTCTGGGCCAGATCAGGCTGAGATGGGAAGGGGAGGGAAGGGAAGGGGAAAGAAGGGGAAGGAAGGGGAGGAAAGGGAGGGAAAGGGAAGGGAGGTCTCTGGCTACAACTGAACCCGCAGAGACCATATTAAAGCGAGAGCAGACACAGGCACATTCCCTCATTCACCTCCAGAGCCTTTTTCCAGGCACCCTTCTCCCTCACCCATTCACACAACATCCATACCGACAGACAGCACCCTGCCTCCCAGCACACACAGAGGCCCTCATCCATTTTAACCTGTTCTCACCTTGGGGGCTGGTGAGAACTGTGGGAGCGGCCCGGGGCCTCAAGCATCCTACCCTTCCAAGTCTGTCACAGCTCTGCCCTCTCTACCCCTCATTGGCACTCTTACCCAAGAACCCCTTTCAGCTGCCCCCGGGGTCGGGTGGCAGAGACTGGATCTAGGGGGATTGGAGGTCAGACTGAGCTCAGCGCACGTCATAGGGTTCTCTCCCTTCCAGGCCCCTAAAGTGGAGGAGAGGGGCTGGACACCAGGATCCCCTCTGTATCCAGTATGCTGAGAGTTTCCACAGTGTCAGGTAAGGTTCCCACCACCTGTGTGGTATGGCCAAGCGGGCAAAGGCAAAGAGAGAGGGGTGGCAGTGAGGGACAGAAACAGCCTAGGGTCTGTTTGGAGGTTTAGGGGGAGGAGTGTGTGGGGAGGCAGTCAAAGAGCCCAAGGTCGGGCCGGCTACCCCACCTAACACGCCCAATTGTCTCAGCATACCTTGTCCTACCTAGATTCCATTCTCCTGGAAGTTGGAATGTGGTGGAGGCCTATGGCCACTCCAAAATTTGTTGGGGAGGGATGGGGTGGGAGGGGTAAGGTAGGAGCATAGCGTGAGGAAGAAAGATTCTAGAGATGTGGATTCTTGCCCCCCACACCCCAATGCACAATGGCAAAACTCTGCCTCCTGTCCTGTCCACCCAACTTTAATGGGATGGCAGAGATGAGGCATGTCTACTGGGCAGATGTGAAGTAGGTGGGCATGGAGACTAATGTGTGTGGTGTATTGGAGTTGGACCTGGGTTCCAATCCTGCCATAGCTATCTCCTACCTAGGTGGGTTTGGGCAAGCCCTACCTGGGACTCAGTTTCTTCCTCTGTAAAATGAGGAGATTGGACTTGGATCCTGTGAGTGATGTTTGGGCAAGATCCTTCTCCTAGCTGGGCCTCTGTTTCCTACTCTGTAAAAATGAGAAGGTTGAACGCAACCGCCTCTGAGCCCTCTTCTAGTTCTTAGGTCTACGGTGTCATGAGCCTATAAATGGGTTTGAGTCTAATCCCCCACTCTCTAACTCCCCCCTCCAAGGTTAGCCTGATTATGGTTCCCTGATCATCCTAACCTCTACTTCTGGCCCAGAGAGGGGGGAATGTATTCTCTGAAACCGCTGGCTCAGACTACTGGCAGTTGTTATTTGGTGTGAGAACAAAGGAGGAAAGTAAGGGTACTCAGGGCCACACACCCCCCCCCACTTCTCTAAATTAATGCCCCTGCTCAGCCTCACAAGGTGATCAATGTGGTTCAATGTGGGGCAGAGTTAGACCAAGATCCTCACCCACCTCCCTTTTATCCAGCGCCAGGGTCCTCATTTTTCCCTGTCTCTCTCCATTTCCCAGCAGCCCCTGGGCCCCTCTCCAATGGCAGCCTTCCTGACAACAACAACAGCAGTGAATCTCGAGACCCATGGTTGGCCCAGGTTGAGGTGGCGCTGCTGGCGGCCATGTTTGTGTGTGTGATGTTGAGCAATATACTGGTGCTGGGGGCCCTGGCCCGCAGGGGCAGGCGAGGACGGTGGGCCCCTATGCATGTCTTCATTGGCCACCTGTGTCTGGCTGATCTGACTGTGGCCCTGTTCCAGGTGCTTCCACAGCTAGCTTGGGACATCACAGACCGCTTCCAGGGCCCTGACTTTCTGTGCCGAGCTGTCAAGTATCTGCAGATGGTGGGCATGTATGCTTCCTCCTACATGATTCTGGCCATGACCCTGGACCGCCATCGAGCCATTTGCCACCCCATGTTGGCATTCCGCCATGGTGGGGCCCGCTGGAATAGACCCATCTTGGTTGCATGGGCCCTCTCGTTGATTTTCAGCCTGCCCCAACTTTTCATCTTCAGCCAACAGGAGGTAGAGGATGAGGCTGGGACCTTTGACTGCTGGGCCTTCTTTATCGAGCCCTGGGGGGCCCGGGCCTATGTTACTTGGATCGCCCTCATGGTGTTTGTAGCACCAGCTGCAGGCATTGCTGCCTGCCAGGTGCTCATCTTCCGAGAGATCCATGCTAGCCTGTCCCCTAGGGCAAGTGGCGTGGGGCCTAGTGAGGGTGCCCGGGTCTCAGCAGCCATGGCCAAGACAGTGAGAATGACCTTGGTGATAGTGATTGTATACGTGCTGTGTTGGGCACCCTTCTTCCTGGTGCAACTATGGTCAGTGTGGGACCCCCAGGCACCTCGTGAAGGTAAGTTTAAGGGTGCATATACTCAGACGAAGGCACACAAAACCACACATATGCAGGCAGGCATACAGATGTGCCCAGAGGGTTGTGCTGATGGGCACTGGTATGTCTGCCTCTAGACACCCTTACACACACAGGCACACATTCATAGACTCCCCCAAATCCTTCTCCCCTATCCCTGTGCCCAGCCTTGCCTCCTCCTTGGTCTACTTGGAGGAGACAGGGAAGAGTCCATAGCTCTGTATCCTGCTCTGCCCCTTATCCTATGCCCCCACACCCTTCCTGCCCCTTGGCCCAGGATTCCCATAGCTCTGTCATTTCTTGCCTGTCCCTTCTGCATGCCCACCTCTCTTCTGGCTTCTGCCTTCTTCCTAGGGCCACCGTTTGTGTTACTCATGCTTCTGGCCAGCCTCAACAGCTTCACCAACCCTTGGATCTACGCCTCCTTCAGCAGCAGTGTTTCCTCAGAGCTGCGCAGCCTCTTCTGCTGCTCCCAGGCACCAGCTTTGGCCAGCCTTGGTCCCCCTGATGACTCCTGCATAACCGCCAGCTCCTCTCTCACCAAGGACACATCCTCCTGAGGTCCTGGACAGACCACAGGCAGGTCAGCTCTCTTCCCGGACTCCAGAAAGCTCCATTCCAAAGCCAACATCTCCCATATGGTGCCAACTTGTCCTTCCTAAAGCAAAGATCTGCCCCTGTCATGCCCCTGCTCAGGGTAAGCTTCTATGGCTCCCCAGTGCCTCTAGGATAACGTGATATTCTATTTGGCATTTAAAGCCCCTCCCAGTATGGCTCCAGCCCGTATTTCTGGCAAATCATCCATCACTGCTCTCATTTTTTTTTTTTTAGGCAATTGAGGTTAAGTGACTTGCCCAGGGTCACACAGCTAATAAGTATCAAATGTTTGGTCTGAGGCCAGATCTGAACTCAGGTCCTCCTAACTTGAGGGCTGGTGCTCTATCCACTGCGCCACCTCGCTGCCTACCATCACTGCTCTCTACCTTCCGTACCATTACACAGGCTGTTGCCCATGACTGGAATGTCCTCCCTCTTCCCCTCTGCCTCTTAGACCCCCTAGAAAGCTCAGCTCAAGAGCCACCTCCTTCAAAAGGCCTTTCCTGGTTCTCCCAGGTTAGTGCCCTGCCCCCAAACTCTGTATTTATTATATATGTATCTATATTTCCCATTTTTACTTCTCAGGGGACATGTCATATCCCTAGAATGTAAATTCCTTGAGGGCAGGGACTATCCCACTTTTTTACTTGTATCTCTAGTGCCTAGCACATAGTAGGTGCTTAATAAATGCTTACTGATTGATGGATTGATTGATTGATGGGGGTTGGGGGGAAAGGACAAGAGGCTCCTGGAATTTCTGGGAATTAGGCATGATGGAAAGAGCCCTGTACCAGGGAATCAGGAGTTCTGCATTCTAATCCTGCATCTGTTTTTGACTTGCTTGGGTCAATCACTTCCTTTCACTTAGACTCAGTTTTCCCATCTGCCATTCTCTGGTTATTGTCCCTTGGACTGTGGATAGGGGCCAAGATTGGGGGCAGGGGGTATAGATGAGAGAAGGAATGTCACTTCCTATGGCTCAGGGGATGAAGGGTTGGCTCTTTCTGTCCCCTGGGACTAGAGGCCTGTTCAGGCCTCCTTGTCCAAGACATCTGTAAGCCACCCCTTGCCTCGTTTTTTAATCCTCACCCTGATGCATAGGCCTTCCCAAGCCTCTAGCCTCCCACCTCCCATCTATATATGGCCCACTCTGAGGTATTAGCTGCATCAACTCTCCCCAGATCAAGACCTCACAACCTGTGGGTTTCCTTTCATTGGGAAAGGTGGGTTGGGTGCATGGAGGCGGACACGGACAGACACACGGACATATTGTTGAGCACAGACGGTAAGGAAATACCTACTCACAAGGCCATAGGCATAAGGACAACACTGAGCCAAACGCAGGGCAAAGCTTCCATGTGCACACACACACACACACACACACACACACACACACACACACTCTGCACCATCCCTCTGTCCAGGAAGCCTGAGGGGTCTGCCCACATGAGGGAGGATGAGAGTGAAGACCTTAGCAGGGCCTCTATGGATTTCATCTGGGAGTCACGCAGGCCCCCCTCCCCCAGCTTCCACTACCTTCATCCTATTGTTCTCACCCTGTTTATGGCAGCTTCAGCCTCTGCTGAAATATTTTTTCCATGACTTGGCCCTGACCCTGACGTCAGGGCTGGCCACTCCACCCCTCTTCTCCCCTGCCAGTTTACCTGATGGCCTGAGGTTCCTGACCCCTTCCTCCCCAGCCCCACTCCCCCAGAAAAATCTCACAGCCTACTTACTGCCCATTCCCAGATGGAATGGTCTGAGATTTAAGTAGTCATATTCACACCCACCCACCCACCACTTAAATGGGCCTGGGTCAGCTAGGATTAGGACAGGTAGAGAAGAGAAATGGCCTAACAAATTGGGGAGGAGTGTGTGAGCTAAGGCACAGAGATGGAAATGAATAAGCCTGCTATGCAGGGAGCTGCCAAGGCCTGGCTGGAGCAGAGGGCACTGTTAGGTGGGCAAATATCAAAAGACAAGAAACCAATTTCTGAGAGCTTCTAAAGCCTTTTTGACTTCATCCTGTAGGCAGTAAAAGGCTTTGGCTCATCGGAGTGACTTGGTCAGGCCTATCCATTAGGAAGCTTGAATGAGCTAGCCTGGAGAGGAGACAGTGGAAGCAGCCAGAGCAGCTAATTTGCTATTAGGCTGTATTAACTGAGGCTGAGTGTTCAGAAGGAAGAAGCTGATAGTCCCCCCTCCCTGATCAGAGGAGGGTGGCCAGCTGAGGAAGAGCCTGGAACGCATGCCCCATGAGGATCAGCTGAAAGAGAGGAGTTAGGGGGTCTTCAAGCATCCAGACCACTGTCTTGAGGCCTGATTAGACCTGTTCTATCTGGTCCCAAGGGACAGAACTGCAAGTATTGGTAGGTGAGTTTCCTGTATACTTTAGGTTAGCCGAATGACTCTTTATTGGGGATACTGTAGAAAGCACATTATTGGTCAGGTGGGGTTGAACCAGATGACCTCTGAACTCTCAACCCTTGAGATTTTGTGATTCTATGAGGCAGGAGACCCAAAAGATCGCTGCGACACTAATCCCAATGAGCTATAATGAGGAAGGACGGACGTGAAACACACTAGGGAAGTTGAATTAACAGCATTTTGGTATCTGGGCCAATTGGGAGTGATGGCATTTTTGCTTGATCCTAACAGTCTTTGCCCCTTGACTCATCTCCCATATTGGGGACCTCTCCCTCAGTGTCTTCTCCCAGAATCCACTCCCCAGAGGCCTTGCCCCCAACTCTGAGCTCTCAGGACTGGAATCATCCCACCCCCACCAGCTGTAGGCCTTAGCTTAAGAGGTTGAATGGGAATGGCCCTGCTGTTGAGTGCTTCAATGTGACCTGCTTCCAGGGGTTACCATCTCCTTCCTGGTCTCCCTGCCCTCCCTGCCACCCACCACATGTACCACCTGCCCCACCAGCCCTCCTGCGCACATCGATCTCCCCATACCTACCCTCTATTCTCCAACCAACAAGTAATGCTTGCTTCACATACACGCTGCTGAAGATGGTATTGTGGTGGGGTAGAGGTAGGGTGGAGGTGGAGGGTAGGGTGCCCTTTTTCTACACATCTGGAAACCTCTGCCCATTCCCAGTACCCTCCAGGAATGTCTATGGAAATCTCCCTCACCTTCCCACTTGGGTACCTGCTCCCTAAGGGGTTAGGGCTCCTTCACCTGAATCGTCAAGCTCTTCCTAGGTGGCCAAGTAGTTAAGCCTGGAGTCAGGAAGACCAGAGTTCCCATGTGACTTCAGACATTTACTAACCCTGTGATCCTGGCAAAGTCACTTCACCTCGACCTGGCCGGGATCATAGCAGCATCTCTCTCCCAGAGACACTGCGATTCTCCAATGATATTAAAGCACTATATAAATGCTAATAGTATTCCTGGTACTAATTGTAATTAAGTCTGGAGCTTCCAGCTGGTGGCTCAGTGGACAGAGAGCTGGGCCTGAAATCAGGAAGACTCGAGTTCAAATTCATCCTCACTCACTAGCTATGGGACCCTGGACAAAGCACTTGTTTGCTTCAGTTTCCTCAACTGTAAAACAGAGACAATAACAGCATCTACCTCCCAGGGTACAAATGAGATATTTGTAAAGTGCTTAGGCCAGTACCTGGAACCTAGTAGGCAATAAATGCTTCCTTCCTTCCTCCCCCCTCCCCCACCCAGGCTAATGAAGTAGACTCCTGTAACTCTTCCTTTGCTTTGGTCTTGGTTAGGAGCCAGGATGCCAGAGTCCCTACAATTAGGTGATGTTTTCTGTGGAGGTCGAATACACAGGGTTGTTATGGAGACCAAATGAGGTGTGTGCAAAGTACTTTGCAAACCCTAAATCACTAGAGATGCCGGCTATTATTGGCTCAGAGTAATGGAAGCTTCAATCTGTTCTGTTCTAATGAGGCTGTAAAATCTCTCTTGCACCAGCAAAGAGATGGGCATAGAGGTGAGGTATTTGCCCAGCGGTACCTTCCATTTTATTCAGGTTTCTTGAGGGAAAGAAAAGGGAAAAGGATGTGGGTAGAGGGGTTTGGGTAGAAAGGCAAGTGAAGAACACAGGTGAGGCCCAATACACCTATGAAGAAACACCCGCGTGATGGCGGGTACGTGCCCAGCCACAGCAGAATGGCAGATGAGGAGCTCAAGATCAGTCCTGGCCCCCGGTAGCTCTGAAGAAAACCTTGTTCTTCCCGGTTCGAGTGGGTCCCATGGGCCTCCTGCTGTGTTGAATGGAGCTGGAGACCTCAGAGGAACTCAAGAGGGTATCAGAAGTCTTCTGCACCTGCTGGGCATTGGCCTTCCCCAAGAGCTCCTTAAAGACAGATTCCATCCTCTGGGCCACGTTCTGGGGAGGGTGCGGAGAGGTGTGGGGGGGGAGATGTCAGTCATCGAGGAAGATCAAGGAAGATGAGGGCTCCTTTCTCTTACTCTGGCCCATTTCTCTATCTGCCTGCCAGTGTCTGAGAAAGAGGCCAGCTCCTCCTTGCTAATGCCCCCTCCTCTTGGGCCTCTGAGCCCATCACCCAAACAATCAGCCCCTCTTTCATTCTTCTTCCTTCTCCTTCTGGTCTAGCAGTCTGAGATTTAAGTAGTCATATTCACACCCACCCATCCACCACTTAAGTGAGCCTGGGTCAGCTAGGATTAGAACAGGAAGAGAAGAGAAATGGCCTAACAAATCGGGGAGGAGTGCGTGAGCTAAGGCACAGAGATGGAAATTAATAAGCCTGCTATGCAGGGAGCTGCCAAGGTCTGGATGGAGCAGAGGGCATTGTCAGGTAGGCAAATATCAAAAGACAGGGCAGAGCCAAGATGGCAGAGTGAAAGCAGTGACTTGCTTGAGCTCTCCCCCAAACCCCTCCAAATACCTATTTTTAAAAATGGCTCTAAACAAATATCAAAAGATAAGGAGCCGATTTCTAAAGCCATTTTGACTTCATCCTGTAGGCAGTAAAAGAAAGGCTTTGGCTCATGGGAGTGACTTGGTCAGGCCTATCCATTAGGAAGCTTGAATGAGCTAGCCTGGAGAAGTAGACACCCATGAGAGAATTCTCCCTATAACTTTCTGCTCTTTCAGACCACGGTGTTCTATGGGCCCTCTGGCCGCCAGGCTTTTAGAAAGAGCCATTTCGGTCTATTTCATCCCCCACCACCCTGAAGTCTGACTTTGGTTCCCCACCTCTCTCTGAGGTCCCTGATAACCTCCAGATCCAGCAAGCTTTTCTCCTGGGTTGACCTCTCGGAAGCTAGTTGGTACTGATGACCATGCCCACCCTCTCGTCCTTACACACACACACACACACACACACACACACACACACACACGACACCGCCCCCCCGAAACGCTCCCTCCTTGGTTTTTGGGAAACACCCTTCTTCCACTTCACACCTTCCCCTTTGGCAACTGTCTCCTTTCATGATTCTTCCTTCCAGGAGGCATCACCCCTTCCCCCAGATCCCTCCCTTTTCTTTTTCTTTCTTTTTTTTTTTTTTTTGCTAGGCAATGGGGTTAAGTGACTTGCCCAGGATCACACAGCTAGTAAGTGTTATGTGTCTGAGGCTGGATTTGAACTCAGGTCCTCCTGAATTCAGGGCCAGTGCTCTATCCACTGCACCACCTAGCTGCTTCTTCCCTTTTCTTTTTGGAGAGTCTCATCCACTCCCACAGCTTCAGCGATCACAGCCCTAGGCAGGAGGTTCCAGAACATCCAAATCTGCATCTCTAGCTCTACTGTGGTCTAGCACTGGGTCCAGGCTTCCAGTGGTCTGCTGGACGGCTAGCCCCACTGAGCACCTCGAAACTGTAACATCTGATCATCTTTCCCCCACCCCTCACCCCAAACCTTCCCTTTCTTCTAATCCCCTGATTCTCTTAATGGCACCACCATCTTCGCATTAGCCCAGGCTTACAACCTGAGTCATCTTTGGCTCCCCCTCCCTCCCCCAATCATACCCTGTCAATATCTCTTGCAGCCATCTCCATTCTTTCAGCCACCCCCCTAGTCCAGAGCCTCATCATCTCTCAATTGGACCAGTGCCATAGACTCCTAATGGGTCTCTCTCTGCCCCATAGAGTCTCGACTCTAATTTATCCTCCATAAGCTGCCAAAGTGATTTTCCTAAAGCCCAGGTCTGGCCATGTCACCTCTTGGCTCCAGAAACTCTAGGATGAGATCATGACTCTGCAGCCTGCCAGCGGGAGACCCTCCACCACCTCAAGCCAGCCTCCCCATGTGGCCCTCTCTCCTCTACCTTATTCCAGCCAAGCCCATCTCTTCACATCCCAGACTCATTTGGGCTCACACCATGTGTTCCCTTCCCTCTCCCTCCCCAATTTCCTGCTCATTCTTCAAGGCCCAATCCAACTATCGACTCCCATAGACAGCCTTTCCTGACCATTCTGAAGGCTCCCACCTAGGCACTGTGTTCTACAGCCCAGCACCCAGCACCTAAGTAGTCTTGCTACTCCTCTTTGCTTGAGGGTGAGGCCAATGGCCCCAGCCAGACTGGGAGCTCCCCAGGGACAGGCCTTGAGTATCATCTCGTCTATGACTTCCCTCCCTTCCCAGCACTCCCCAGCACAGGCAATCAGTGAAGACTCAGTCTGCTGAATGGAAGAGGAAAAATTGGGAGAGAAGAAAGGAACCAGGAGAGGAGAGTAGGAAGAAAGGGGGAGATCAGAAGGGGGAGGATAAGGAGAGTCAAGATGAAAGGGGCATCCATGTCAAGTCCCAGAGAATACCCCGCCCACTGCAAGCCCGGCTGGCTCACCTTGTCAACCTCCAATTTCTTATCACTGGTGATGATGGCTGGGCAGCGCCAGTTGCACCCAGAGGGTCCTGGCATCTCCATCGTGTTTCGACGCTCTGGTCTGAAATGGAAAGTGGGGGTGGGCACAGAGAGTCACCCTGGGGCCACCCAATACGGTCCCAAAAGGAAAGAGTGAGCTTGCCTTTCTCCCTTAGGGGCCCTCCCCCACGGAGTTTATGCCCCACGGGCTGACCTGTCACCAGGTATCACAGCTCGGCCAGCTGATGTCAAGGTCAAAGGGTGGTGGGTAGGATCCAGAAAAGGTGAAGTCAATTTGCCAACTGGACTGCCACTGCTCGCTTGGGGGCGAGCCCTGCCATAGCCACCTTCTGAATTTGTGCGCATGCTGGCATGGAGTTGGGGGGGCCTCAGGTGAGAGCCTCCTGCCATCCCTTGACCCCTTGACACCCAGGCTGGATCACTCCCTTCTCCGGGAGGTCTTTCCACCCTGCTGTCCCCCAAATCTCTCCAAGATCTGATTCCCCCACCTGACAGCTAGGAGTCTGGTTAGCTCCTGCCGAGTCAGTTTCCCATGGAATTTGAGAATCCTCAAATGCCAGGGCTGAAGGTTCCTCGGAACCCAGAGGATTCAGGTTGCTTATTTCACAGATGGGGAAATGGAGGCCCAGAGAAGGGGGCAGGGCACTCCTCAAGTTCACCCAGCTGATTAGTTGTCTCCCGCCTCTCAGTCTGGGCCTTTTCCATCACACCAGAGCACTGCCTTCTCCTGGTGAGAAGAACCCTTGGCGTGATAAGGGGCCCTGCCACCACACTGTCCATTGAGCCCAGACGGGGAGGGGGGAATGGGGGAGACATGCTCCTTCCCCTTTCACTCACCGGCTCACTGGCTCCATTGTGAGGTCCTCAGATTTGGAGACCAATTCACCTTCTCCCTGTCCCTCCTGTAAAACCACTCGATTCCCTGGCCTAGGAACACAAGGGGGATGTTGGGGGGAAGATTCAGTCCCCAGAAAAAGCTAGGCCCCAAGCGGGATGGACAGCAGAACATGGAGATGGGGAAGGGACCCAAGGGAAGGAGCTGAGTGTGCTCAGTCATCACTCGGCCTCTAAGCAGTGGGGTCACGTCTCTTAAAAGACAGACTGAGAGGCAGCAGCAGGTGGAGGAAACTGGAAGACCCTGGACCCGCAGTGAGGCTCGGGGACCATTCCCAGCTGCTCTGGGCTGATCTCACTCACTTTTCGGGCACTTTGATGTACTTGTGGGGGATGAGCCCCAGGGTGCCTGCCCGCTCCCCACGCCACCACTCTCCAGAGGCCCGGGTATGCAGCCATAGTAAGTCCCCACGCTGGAAAGTCAGCTCCTGGGGCGTCCGGCCCACGTAGTCAAAGCAAGCCACAGCCTCTACAGACCCCTCACACTCCAGGACTGGGGCAGAACTCTCTGGGGGCGACCCAGAGCTCTCTAGAGATAGAACAGGAGTCTCTGTGGGGAAGAAGATGGGATACTCTGGGGGAAAATATCAGGCAGTGTGTGTGTTGGGGGGACTCTGAGGGAGTAGAGGACATTCAGGGGAAGACACTGGATGAAGCTTGGCACACTGTGGGGGATAGGACCCTGTCCAGGAAGATGGGGGCTCTAAGGACCATCTCATGATGTTCTGAAGGGACGAGGGCACGAGGCCCCCTGCTTCACCCTCTTTATTAGCCGATGTCTCCGTGGGCACGTCCTGCTCACTCTCTTCTGCCGTGGCGTCCAGTTGAGTATCCCTGAGACAAAAGTCAGAAGGTCAGACCCAAGACAGTGAGGGGAGAATCCCTGCCTCCTCTGCATATAGATACAGAGATAGACACAGATGCGTCTCTACAAGTGGGGAAAGCTGTACTGGCTGTCAGTAGGCATCTTGGGGATGGGGTGGGGTGACCTTATATTCCAGCCCCCAGGAGATCACCCATGGGACAGCCCTCCTCTCCCCCTGGTTTCTGACAAAGGTGGAGGGGATGAGGCTGTGGTACATGCACATTTCCCAGATTTACCCAAAATCATCGTGTGGTTGAGTCATGCACTTTTCATAGAGGGGCCCCGGCAGCACAGCGGGGCTTGGGAAGATCAGGTCAGGCTGCAGGATGAGCATCTGAACTAGCTGGTTTACCCGGCCCTGTACCGCCACGGGGTCTTGCTCAGGTGGAATAACCACCAGTGTGGGCCCAAAGCACACAGCCAGGTTGTAGGGGTCCATCATGTTTTCATCACTGTACTGGGCCAGGCTGAGCACCAGCAAGACACAGGAACAACCAAGATGAACACAACAGAGCACGGATGGATGCTTGCCATCAGGGGGAGACCAAGCAGACACCCCTCACCATCCCTGCTCCCCATTCCCCTCTGGCCACCTTCTGCCTTCCTGAAACTAGGGGCCATTTATCTGGCTGAGAAACTCAGAGCAAATCTCCAGGGGTCAAACGAGATCACCCTAAAGTCCCTCCCAGCTCCCTCTGGATGGCGCCCCAGGTGAGGGTGGGGAAGAAGATAGCCCTGAGGGATGGGCATAGGGGGATGCTACTCACTGATTAAGGAAGGTAAAGAGATAACGGAGGACCACCAACACGGGCCCTGGCAGGCGGCCCAGGACGCCTTTCACAAGCTCTGCCCTCTCTCCAGGGTTCTCCAGCTCTGGAGGCCCCAATACCCCATCCCAGGTGCCTCATTACTCAAACTGCTCCCTCTCCCCTCTCCCAGCCCCCTTTCTTTCTCCTTCCCTCCCCAGCCTAGCCCCCCTGCCTCACTCACCCACAGCAGCCAGCATCTCCCCAAACATTTCTGATGGAAAAAGTGGTGTCTCCAGGCCACGGAAATAAAGCTTCAGTACACCAGCCACGGAGTCCAGGTCATGGGCCGAGTAGCCCTCGACCAAGGGGTCCTCGCCTGGGTGCAAATTCAAGGGTAATTCAGGGATGCCCAGCCCCAGCCTTCTGTCCCAGCCACTGTCCCACCCCTGCTTCCCTCCCTGTCTACCTACCTCTCTCAAAGGCATTCCGGATTTCTGTAACCCTAAGTTGTGCTCCAGGTACTCGGAAAATGCCCTCATGTTGGAGACCTGGAGGCATTGGAAGGGCCACCCTATGTGTGGCTAAGACAAGAGGAGGGGATCCCCCCAAATCCCAGGTCCTGAGGCCCCCAGCCACCTAGAGCCATGGTGCTTCCCCCTCCTAACAGTCTGAGACAGGCATTTACCCTGTCCTGGGGTGGGGGTGGGGGAGCAGGGAAAAGAAAGGGTAGCAGGGTCTGCCTAAAGAGGTGAGCCAAGGGGTGAGCAGAGGCTAGGCCGGCAGCTGGAACACATCGGGCCTTACCATGCAGATTGATGAAGCGGATACAGCTTTCGACTACCAAGGGGACAGCTTGACCTGAACTCTGGAGGTGGGAAGAGGAGAGAGGAGCCAGGGGGACTAATGTCATGCTGACTGAACCTTTCTCTCTGGATGTCTAGCCCCTCCTCTCCCAAAACAGCCAACAACCTATCTATCTCCTAGGCCTCCTATAGCAGTGGGCCCATTATGGACCCCAGGCTGTGGGGAGGGGAGAAGACAAGCCCTGTTATCCAGATGGGAGAACTGAATCTTCCAGAGAAGGGGGTGTGCGGACCCAGCAGATGCATATACACACATCCAGAGGGTCACAAATGCATTGACACATATACACCCAGGCCATTTTTCTATTCCCATTGCTTCTGCTGGTAATGCCTCCCTAAGGCTACCATCCCTATCTCCTCTGTATCTGGTTATTTATATCTTATCTTCTCCATTAGAACATGAGTTCCTAGGGGCAGTTAGGTGGTGCAGTAGACAGAGCTCTGGCCCTGGATTCAGGAGGACCCGAGTTCAAATCTGGCCTCAGACACATAACACTACTAGCTGTGTGACCTTGGGCAAGTCACTTAACCCCATTGCCTAGCCAAAAAAATTAAAAGTGACAGAAGTGAAGACAATGATTGAAAAACCACTTTCAGGGCAGCTAGGTGGCACAGTGGATAGAGCTCTGGCCTTGGAGTCAGGAGGACCTGAGTTCAAATCCAGCCTCAGACACTGGATACTTACTAGCTATGTGACCCTGGGCAAGTCACTTAATCCCGATTTCCTCACAAAAAAAAAAAAATCAAACAAAAAGAACATGAGCTCTTCGAAAGCAGGGGCTGAGGGACCTTTCCTTGTACCCCCAGAGCTTAGTACTGGGCCTGGCACACAGTAGGTGTTTAATAAATGCCTGTTGCTCACTTGGGCCTTCCACTTGTACTAACCATACACTTTCTCTGCAGTGACCTCCGGCACAGACATGTCTCTACACAGAGGCACTTGGAGGCCTGACCCTGAGCCCTCAGCCTTTTCCAGAAGCCCCTGGGCCTGGTCCTGACTCCTAGACAGAAGAGAGAAGTGGAGCCCCTGCCCCGTTCTCTGTAGCCAACCTGGCAGGGGTAGGGCAGCTAGTACCTGGATGAATTTCTCCATGTCTCCTGAAAAGAGTTTGTGGTTGTATTGGGAGCTAGGCCGAGGACGCCGATTCCTTTGGGATCTAGTCATAGAACAGCGGGCCCTGAAATCAATGCGGAAGAGAGTAGGAGGGCTGAAACTGCAGCCTGGCAGGGTCAAAGGGGACCACCTGGGGAGATTGCGCCCCACCCCCCACCCCAAATACCTCGGCCTTCTTCCCCTTCCACCCTTGGAGCTCGAAGCCCAGGGAAGGTGGTTGAATGAAGGGCCCTGGAAAACCCTGTCACCCTCACCAAATGCAGCTGAAACAGAATCAAGTTCAACTCTTCCATTTTACAGGTAGGAAAGCTGAGGCAGCCCAAGAAAATGGAGTGGCCCAAGGTCAGGCAAAGCCAAAGGTGGGACTAGAATCCTAGCAAAGAGGAAGATCAGGCCTCCCCTTCAGAAGCAGTATGGATAGTGGGAAGGGTCCTGGCTTGGGAGTCAGAGGACCTGAATTCAAATCCTGATTTTGCCACTTAATTTGCCACTTTGAGACCTTGGACCTCAATTTCCTCATCTGCAAAATGAAAGTTTTGAACTAGATGATGTCTAAGATCCTTTGTGGCTTTTAATTTGTGATTCCCTTTTCAGCATAAACCAGGGGATTCCTCTGGGAGACTTACCGAGACCCATCACAATCTTCCTTGTTGCCTGTGAGGACAAGAGAAAACCAACTTAGCACTGGTGTCCTCTGTGCTCCAGCTTCTTCAGGACACACTGAGCCCAAAGGATTAAGGTGGGGAATATCTGAGGTTGGGTGGCATCCTGTAGCAATCTCTAAAAGTGAGGATTAGGCCCTCTGGGCCAGAAACAAATGGACTAGAACCGGCCTTGGACTGGAGAGCTGGGGAGCAGGGGCTGGGGGTGGAGGAGGGACTGGGAGAAAGGGCCTGGGACTGGGAGGCAGGAGTTGAGGCTGGGAGGCAGTGGGGGGGAGGACTGAGAGACAGGAGCTGCGGGGCAGGGGCTAGGGGAAAGGGACCGGGGCTGGGAGGCAGGGGCTGAGGCTGGGAGGCAGGAGCTGGGGGGACAGAGACTGGGGCTGGAAGGCAGGGGCTGAGGCCGGGAGGCGGGGGGGGGGGCAGGGGTGGGAGGAGGGACTAGGAGAAAGGAACTAGGGCTGAGAGGCAGAGACTGAGGCTGGAAGGCAGGGGCGGGGTGGGGGGCCGGGACTGGGGCTGGGGGGCAAGGACTAGGAGGCAGAAGCTGGGGGGCAGGGGCCAGGGGAGACAAGTGCTAGGGCTAGGTCTGGGGAGCAGGCTGACCTCTCTGAATGGCCTCCTGTAGTTTCTCATGTTTTGCCTGTAGCTTGGTAAGGATGCTTCTGCAGCTCAGATATTCTTGGAGTTTCTATGGGGCCCAAGGGATGGAGTGGTTGGTCACGAATCTTGTGACCCTGCCAGCCCTGGAGCCCCAGTTTCTGAGGTCACTCACTACTCCTCCAGCCCTCACCAGGATATAGAAGGTCTCCGTCTCCTGCTGCTGGCCACGTCTCCGTGAGAGCTGCCTACAGCCAGGATCAGATCCCGTGGACTTGAGTGATTCGGTGGATGGGCTGGCCTGGAAGGCATCTAACACATCACTGTCATCCGAGGAGGCCTGATCCAGCAGGGACTGCAGGCTTGCCTTCAGCGTCTTATTGACCTGAGGGTAGGAAGCAAAGAATAGCTCTGAGGGCCACATTGGGTAGAGGAAAGGAGAAGAGGCTTGAGAGAGAGAGAGGTTATATCAGGCAGAGAGAGTGTAGAAGGTCTGGTACCCTGCCATGGGCGCCCAGCTCCATCCCTTCCTATCAGGCACTGAGCCACTGAGACACCTACCTCCCCAGTTTCAATGTTCTGTTGATCCAGGCGGGCTTGAATATTCTTGGCTCGAGGAAGAATTTCATCTTCCAGGTCTACAGGCACCTGGACCTCAGACACCTGCAAGGTTGGAGGTGAGACAACAGCAAACAGCCAGTCAGAAACATGGAGAACTCAAGACAGACCATGAAGAGAGGGGAATGCGACTTGTTTCAAGTTCTATTTGGTAAAGCTACGCTATCTACCAGTCTAGCTTATAGAATACTTTCAAACTTTCTGAAGGAAGAAAGTCAGGGGGCAGATAGGTGGCACAGTGGATGGAGCACCCATCCTGGAGTCAAGAGGACCTGAGTTCAAATCCGGCCTCAAACATATAACACTCACTAGCTGTGTGACTCTGGGCAAGTCACTTTAACCCAACTGCCTCACATTAAAAAAAAAAAATTAAAACAAGAAACAAAAAACTGAAGATGAAGGAAGAAAGTCTGTAGCTTGGACAAAAAACCCAACTGACAACAAATTGTGTGGGCCCCGTGAAGAGAAGCGATGGGCTACTTCAGTTCCCCTCCTAGAGCAGGAAGGGAATCCAAAAAATATCTGTATCTGATCAGTCTGAGAGAGATAGCCCATCATGAGACAGACGATAGCTTCCTGCTTCCAGGACGGAGGCGGGATCAACAGAAACCCAGAAACTGTACTGCATTCAGAAGGCTGTGATTCTAATCAGGGTCTCTGTATGAGATTGCTATTCCTATAAGCTGCTAAAGGAAAACCCAAGGGGAAATAAGAAAGATAACTAACAAGTGACTTTTCTTTGTGTGGGGGGGGGGGTGGAGGTGGGGAATGGGGTGAGAAATCAAGGACCAGGTAAAAAGAGGGAGAGACAGAGAGAGAGAAGGGCAAAGAGAGAGGAAGGAAGGAAGAGGCGAGTACCTACCTGCCCACCCACTAAAGGTCACCCTATCCTACTGCCCGGGGTTACGGGCTTAACAGCTGGTCACCTTTCCCGATGACCAGCCCAGTTCCCCATATGCTCTTAATCATAAACTTGCAGGGGTTTGGTCTGAATGATAGAATCTGAGGAACCGCCAGTGACAATGAGTTTTTGATAGCACCAGATTCAGTACTTGGACCAGAGGTTCTGCCAGAGGTGCCTGTTTTGAGAACGCACCATCCCAAAGGATTTGTGTGATATTTGGCTGAATGAATAAGGAGATTACATATTTGAGAGAGAGGATGTGGGATATTCACTGTCAAGTTCAATTAGACTTGGGGAGAGAGCTACCCATTGTGGACTCTATGAAGGGTAGTTAGTGACAGTAGCTTACTACCTCCACCTGGTGGCAGCATTTCCAAAATGCAGGGAGCCCATCATCAAGGTAGAGACCAGGACTATTTTTCTATTTCCATTTCTTATAAGAAAAAAATCCTTGCATTTTATTGATGAGGAAACTGAGGCTCAGATAAAGGCAGGCCCTGTATGCTAGTTTCCTCCCTCTCTCTCTAGATCACTGGCATGGGGGAGGGGCCCATTTGGACTCTTCCTAAGGGGTCAGAGATGGGGACCCGGGCGTTGGAGCTCAGGAATTTTCCGGGACAAGAGCCTTCTTCACCTCATCCCCTTCATAGGGTTGGTATTCAAATCGGAAAGGTGGACAGTAGGCAGAGGCGTGGAGCTCCAACACTTTGCTTTTGTCTCCTTCTGGGTCCAGGGTGTCCAAGGCTACATCCAGCTTGCTCGGGCCCTGCCCAGGGGAGGTCTTGGCCCGGGTCACAGCTGCTGTGTAGCCACGAAGAACCTTGCTCAGAGCCAGGTGGAAGCCCAGATCACTGCACTACAGGGGACAGAACCCAAAGAGCCCCTAAGCAGGCCGGCCTGCCCTCTTGGCCCACCCTCCCCCCAGCCCCCATCCCAGGCACCCACATCTATGATGGCGACAGCGTCTCTCAGGTAGTAGTTGCTGATGGCTGCATTGGCACTGGCCAAACTGAGCAGGTATTCATTCCGCGCCTTGGTACACTTCAGCTTGTGTTCTAAAAACTTGGCCTGGCGCTGGTCAGGAAGCAGAGAGGAGCCCCGATGGAGCTTGGCAGCCTGGGGGATTACCTTTGGTAATCCCACAGGGCAGGGGGCAGAAGGGGGCAGAGGGAAGGCCAGGGGGCACACACTCATCTTCTTGGCACCACCCCCACTCCCAGGTTTATCCATCTCTAGCTGTTTCCCTTTTGGGGGGCAGCTAAAAATGCCCACCAGAAAGAGGGCCACTGGCCTAACTCCACCATGTCTAACTGCCACTGTAGTGGGGCGGGTTAGGACACAACACAGCGGGTGTCATAGAAGCCTGGAACCCTGGAGACAGGAGAACCCTGAAGAAAGCACTGAGTCCAACCTCCACAAGGCTGAGGAGGGGAAACAGAATGTCATAGAGGGGAAGAGCCTTTCCCCAAAGCTACAGAACTGAGAAAAATAGAATCACTGATCTTCCCTTGAATGGGCTAGGCTAGAGGGGCCTCTGTTTCTGCCTGAGAGCACTCCTCTCCTGAGCTCTTAGAGACTTTCCCCCAATTTTCCCAGGACTGGAGGGAGGGAGGGAAAGAAGCAATGGCACCATTTTAGAAAAAGGTTCACAGAGACCAATGAGACCAATGTCACGCAAGCAGCTCTTGTGACCTCTGACCTGCCTAAAGTGACTGAGGAGCACACACATATGCCTCACAGAATTCCTCATTTCTTTCCTCTACTAAGCCAGGCTGCCTCCCATGAAGGCAAGCAGGCCTCCCACTGCTCCCAAGGCCTGCCCCGGCTCCTTAACCCCTTCCCTTTCCTTTCTCTACTAGGCCGGGCTGCCCCTATAAAGGCAAATGGGTTCCCCCTGCCCCCCAAATCTTTCCCTTTCTCTTCTCTACTAGGCCAGGCTGCCCCCATAAAGGCAAGTGGGCTCCCCCTACCCCCAAGACCTGCCCATTGGGCTACCCGGCCCCCCAGCCCCTTTCCCTACCTTCTCTATAAGGCGTCCACCTTTCTTGAGAGAGGTTCTTCGAGGAGGAGCCCAGCCATAGCCATCTACACCTTGCGAGGTGCTGAATTCCCCGCAGCGGCCAGCTCGCTTTTCCTCTTGTCGCTCGGCCTCTCTCAGCTTTCCCTCAGAGGTCACGCTCTCTGCCCTGTATGTCTGGTAGGTTTTCATGGCCTGAGGAAAAGCAGAAGTAGAAGTACAATTGAGGCACTGACCACTCAACTCTTTGGCACCTCCTTCCACAAGAGGTTCGTTCACCCATAAGCTACACGCCCTTAATCTTTCTTTTTTAGGGGGCCAGGAGGGCCAGTAATTCAAGACCACTCCCTCCAGGACCAGTGCAATGAACTGGTCCAGGCAGCGACGGGTCAGATTAGACCAGAACTCAGTGGTGTCATAAAGGGCCAGACTCCAGAGCCTTAGAGACGGGGAGAGTCCTTAGAGACCAGAGAGCAAAGGCACTGGATGAGGTCATAGCTGCCCTTAAAGGCCTAAGTGGGCCCCCTTTCCCCCAGGTCACCCCCTTCTCACCATCTGCAGCTCTAACACCACTTTGAGCAGGTCTTCCTGTAACTGCTGTTCCAGATCTTTACTCTAGGGAAGAAGGAGGGAAGTGGGGATCAGTGACCACAGAGAGGTTCTGGCCCACCTGTTTCCAGCCTACCTGATCAAGGCCATAGGCTTTGGGCTTTGGAGGCTTTGGACTGAGTCCAAGTTTTACAATCTAGCCCCATCACCTACAGCTCCCACCGTTCCCACCCTACACTCCTATCAGTCTAACCAGTGTCTTCTCTGAATCATCACAATCTTCCAATACACTCACACTCACATAAATACTAAAACACACGCTTATACACAAACACAAATATACACCCATACACACACAAATACACAAACATACACACAAATATATACACAAACACACTTATACACATATACACACAAAAATAAATACACACACACACTCAGACACACAACATACACACATATACACTCAAACACACATAAATACACAAATAAACACATAAATACATATATACAGACAAAAATAAACACTCAAATATACACAAACACAAACATACACATACCCAAATATATACACAAAAACACATGCACAAAACACACAAACACATCCAAAAACACACACTCAAACACACACACACAAATATACCAAGTTCATTACTGCTGCAGTACCTTGGCTCATACTGTTTCCCTTGCTTGGAATGTCATCCTAGCTACTCTGTGTCAGGCCCACTGGTTTTCAAGGCCCAGTTGAGGTACCACCTCCTCCTTCCTGGAGGCTGCTGGGCCGAGAACAGTACCCTCTATCCCAAGCAGGCCTCTATATCACGTTCACAGAACACATATACACACACACACACACACACACACACACTCACACATGGCCTGCCTGCCTAGCAGGACCAGCCTCCTTTTCTGGGCCACACCCTCCTGTTCCTCTGGTCTCCATTCTCAGCTCAGATGTCTGCTGACCATCCTCACCCTGGCACTGAGCCCTCTCTGCCCCTACTCCCCCTCCGCCCAGGCCCGGGCGGTCACCTTCTTCACCAGACGCCCTACGTCCTCTCCAATGTGACTGAGCTGTTGGGCCAGGGGCCCGGCCAGCACCTCGCTGAGGGCCCCGTGATCCCGGCTCTCCTGCCGAGTCTGCTGCAGCAGCACATACCAGCAGTGCAGGGGAGACAGAAGGGACGGCTCCTTCCTGGGGGGGTGACATAAGGGATGGGCCAGGGGCATTGAGGACCCAAGGCCCCCCATCACCACCCACGGGCCCTTGGCTTCACCCAATTAAGGCCAGGCACTCTGGGGTGGGACCCTACCCCCAACCCCATTCCCTGGTCAGTCCTCAGATGAGGTCTTGCCCTGATACCGGAAGTTCTGCTGGTCCCGGTCCTTGCCACTGGTCCGGCCCCCTCGGGCCAGGAACTTCTCACTGAGCTTCTCGAGTCCCTTGGAGTACTCCAGCTCCACCTCAGCCCTGCGCCGCATGAACTCGCCCAGATCCTGAAGCAGCTCCCTCCGAAGCTCCCCTAGACCATCCAGGCTCCGAAGCTGCTCTGCCAACTGCCATCGGATCTCTGCAGGGGCACAGTGGGGAGGGCGCTAAGGACACACACAGGTACAGAAAGGCAGGGAGGAACAGCGGGGCAAGGGGCGACCAGGGGTGGCATGGGCTGATAATGAGAACAGGAGCAGACTTGGCTTCCATCAGTATTCCTTGTGTGGGTACTCATCTCAGAGGCTCACAGATCTAGGGCTAGAAGGACCCCAGAGGACTAGAGTCCAAGCCCCTCATTGGACACCTGAAGAAACTAAGTGATTTGGCCAAGGTCACACACAGGAGCATGGGTCTACATAAAAACAAAAGATGTCAATCAAAATGCATTTTAGTTAAATTATTATTTTTTAAAAGGAGCAGCCTTGATCTAATACAACCCCTTCATTTTATAGGAAACTGAGGCCCAAAAAGAAGTGACTTGCCCAGGGTCACACATCTAGTAAGTGTCTGAGGCCAAATTTGAACTCAGGGCCTCCTGACTCCAGGCCCAGTACTCCATCCACTGCAGCGCCACCTAGCTGCCCACTTATTATGATGTTTTCCTGCTCTCTGAGGTCCAATGAGCTATAAAGAGGCAGGATGAGGTTACAGGGGCCTTGTCCTCCAGGTCCATACAAACCTACCCAGCACCTTCCCCCCTCCCCACACACACAGTAATACACTCAACACTTCCTCTTCTTCCCTTATACAGCTATGCCTTCCACATCACAACTTTTGGTTTCACTATATCACAGGTTGGCATAAGAAATGGGAATTTTGGGGGGAGTTTTGAGGAAGCATCAGACCAATACTGGAAGGCCAGCAAACAATACAGAAAAACTAAAAACTGAGTTTCTAAACAGAAACTCAGAAATACATAAAGTATATGTATAGTATTGTATAATATCAACCGAAATTTTACAATAAGGTACTGTAAACACTCCATAAAAGAAAAAAAACAAAATTCAGACTACTCTGGATTACAGAGATTTTCCCAATCATGGACCCCCACGATGTGGAAGGAAGGAGTAACTGGACGATGGTCTCTCGTCATATTTGCTGCAGGTATCTAGTGACTTCCAGGGCACTTTCTCTAAGTATTTCAGGCCCAGGCTTACAATCTTTCTCCCAGGGGTGGGGAACCTGTGGCCTCAAGCCACATGTGGCCCTCTAGGTCCTTGGGTATAGCCTTTTGACTGAGTCCAAGTTTGACAGAACAAATCCTTTTATGAAGTGGATTTGTTCTGTGAAGTCTGGGTTCTGTTAAAGGGCCGCACTTGAGGACCTCAAGGCCGCAGGTTCCTGACCCCTGCACCATCTTCTGCCACAGTAACCGATGGCTTGGGGCCCAGCTTCTCTAGCTGTCTCTCAAAACTATCGTGATTCACAACAGGGAACATGGGATACCAGGCCGCACAGGCTGCTCACAACGTCACCACATGGTTCCAGGGAGTCAAGAGACAAGGCCTAACACCTGAGAGGGCCATGGGAGAGGAACATGAGAATAGGGAGGGCAGAATTGGAAGTATGCAGTGGGTAACATTTGCAGTTTTAGGCTTGATGTCAGGAAAAACTTGCTAATGATTTGGGCTCTCCAGAAGTGACCTGGTGGCTCCCCTGTCCCTGGAGGGCTTCAGGAAGGTAGGATGCCCACTCACCAGAGTCAGAATAGAGGAGGATTCTTGTAAAAGGCCTTGTCACCAGAGGCCATGTAATCTCTGGCCCTCTCCAGTCCTGAGTAGTACGCCCACGTGCATCTAATAAATATGGAGTGGAAGGAAATTTCACTGGGACCTAATAAGGGGTCCCTTCCAGCTCTGGGCATGTGACCTTGGGCAAGTTCCTTCCCCACCCCAGACCTGTTTCCTTTTCTGAAAATAGGGGGTGGGGGGGTAGGACTAGCTTACCTCTGAGGTCTTTTTCAGACCTTCACATGATCCGCTTGCCACTGGACAGGGAACAGTGACCTGATGATGCCTGTCCCCCTCTGCCTGAGACCTGTGGCCTGTGTGCTACCAATCCTATTATCTTGTGTCTTACCTAAAGTTCCCATCTCTCCAAATCCTATGACAGTACTCTGCATATATTAGGCACCTAAGGCCTAAATTTCTCCTCCTGGGCTGCCAGGAAGTCAGAAGCTCCCTGATATCTTTGGGCACACTGAAGTTTTTCAGTGAGATACTGGGTCTAATGTCAGATGCCAACACCCAGTTACTGAGTGTAGCATCCTAAGCAGAGCCTTGTGGGAGACCCAAAGACGAAAAAAGATTCAGTCCCTGTGTTTCAAGAATTTCAGTCTAGGATGAAGCCTCCATGCAAGAAGCCTGGGAGACAGGAAAATGCTGGGTTTGAAACCTGCCTCTGATACTTAGTAACTGTGTGACCTTGGGCAAGTCCTGTACCTTCTCCAAACTTTGGTGTTCTTATTTATAGAATAGGGACAATAGTACCTAAGTTAGAGGGGTATTGCCAGGACCGATTGGGAATGTCTGTAACAACGTATGCCTTGTAAACCCTAAAGCATCATATAAATGTCAGCTCTTATTACTAATAAAAATTCATGGGATTGCATAATAATAGGCTTCGTGTTTACTGTATTTAAAAGTTTACAAAATGCTTTATTTACAACTGCCCTGTGCAAATGGTAGATAGTATCAAGGTCTCCTTTTGCAGACGAGGGATGAGAGAGATGCCCTGACTCCCAGTCCCAGGCCAAGGGGTGCAGGGAGCCCAAATCTTCTCACTCGCTCTTCCCTAGGCACAGGATACCTTCTGTTTCCCTCCCCTCCCCAGTGAAGCTACCCCTTATCACCTTCTCCAGGAAGGCTTCCCAGACCTATCTCATCCCACCCCACCTTCCTGTGTCCTCTAACCATCACAGTGTATGAGCTCCCTGAGGGCAGAGAAGAGGTTTTAGGCCGATTCTATATTGTCTCTAGGTAGCCAGGTGGGGCTGCAGTGGTTAGAGTGCCAGGCCTAGAGTCAGGAAGACTCCTCTCTTCCTGAGTTCAAGGGTGACCCTGGGCAAGTCACTTCACTTCGTTTCTCGCATCTGTAAAATGAGCTGGAGAAGGAAATGGCCAAACCGCTCCAGTATCTCTGCCAAGAAAACCCTAAATGGGGTCAGATCAGACACAGCTGAAAACAACTGAACCATAAATACTGTCCCTAGTGCCTAGCACAGAGACCTGCTCACAGCAAATACCCAACTGAATGCTGCTCATGACACCGTTCTCCTCTCTCAAAGAGCCTTCGGTGGCTCTTTGCTTAAAAATGTCTACGTCCCCCAGTTCTGTCCTAGCCCTGCTGTAGTCTTCCTTGGTGGCCGATCTTACCAGCTCTTGTCCCATTTAACAGAAAGAATTCTCATTTCTACAGCCCTCAAAGGGTTACAAAGCACTTTCTCCTTAGTCTGGGGTATGCTGGTAAATGTTTAACTGTCTCTAGGCAGGAAACACTTGGAAACTTACTCTGGATTAATAACATTATTTAATCTAGACCAAGGGTAGGGAACCTTTGGCCTCGAGGCTCCATGTGGCCCTCTAGGTCCTCAAGCGTGGCCCTTTGACTGTGAAGGGCCACACTTGAGGACCTAGAGGGCCACATGGGGCCTCGAGGCCAAAGGTTCCCCACCCCTGGTACCATCAGCACAACTATAAATCAAGCCCTGCTTTTCAGGGGCTGCTGATTTCCAAGGTGTAAAGGTTCACACTGAAAATTGAACATCATTCCCAACTGTTGACTTGCATCAGCCCCTGGAGGGCCTCTGGAACTTCCATTTCGGGTCCAAACCTGACTGCTTCCCTAACCTGCCCCTTTCTGCCGGTGAAGCCTCAGAGGTATCATTGAGGCTTGGGTTAGGAAGGCCAGAGGCATCCATCACTGGTTGGTCTACTCCTGGCATCACCACCCCCTCCAATAGCAGGGGCTAAGTCCAATTCTATCTATTCTATCTCTTCTTATTCCCAGCATCCTTACTCCTAACCCGTTACATCTTATTAGAACCATTACAGGAGCCTCCTAACAGTCAGTCCATATGAATTTATTAAATGTCTCCTGTGTGCCAGGCACTGTGCGTTTGGGATACAAAAAGAGGCAAAAGCCAGGCCCTGCTTTCTAGGACCTCTCAATCTAAAGGGGCAGTCAACATGCAAACAAACATATAGAAAGCAAGCTCTATACAGGATGAACAGGAAATAATGAACAGAGGGAAGGCTTCTGAATGAAGAGGGGTGGGGAGGGCTGCCTGTAGGAGGTGGGGTTTTAGGTGGGACTTGAAGCCAGGGAGGTCAGTGGTCAGGGCCGAGGAGGGGGAGGGTCTTGTTGGTGGCCAGAGTCACTGAATCACAGAGCATGTAGGGGCTGGGGGGGGGGGGTTACGAAGGGCTCTGAAAGCTAGATGCTGTCTCAGGGCCTCCTTTCTTTGCCTCTGTTCTCTCCCTCCAAACGATCATCACGCTTTCAAGGTTGCAAAGGGCTTTGCCAAACGTTATCTCATTTGACCCTCATGACAACCTTGTGAGGTATATTATCTCCATCTCACAGATCAGAAAACCAAAGCTCATTGATGGTGGATGATTTGCTCACAAAAAGAGAGAGGATTAAAACCCAGGGCTCTGGCCAAGTCCCCCCAGTTCTGCCATTATACTAAATTGCTTCCTATTAAACCAAGTGTGTATTGAAATCCAAATTCAGGGGGATTTTATTGAGTGCCTCCAAGTAGATTCGGTGGGGCTCTGCCTTGCCTTCCCCTCCCCTTGGGCCACCACACTCCAGATCTGAAGCCAAAGAGGACTCTTGCTCTGCCCTACAGGAAGGTAAGAGTGACCATACTGGGCAAGAAGCCCGGCCATAGGAGACCTCCTTGGGCCTCCTGCCCCAGCCAAACTCCCTTCCTCCTTCATTTCCTGTCCCTAAGCTCTGGAAAGCCCCTGGGCTGCCTTCCTAGACATTACGATTTCCTTCCCCTCGGTACCAGCCAGGGCTCTCCCCCCAGCCCCCCTTGTCCTGAAGCTGGTCTCATTACTTCATCTCCCTCCCCCTCCCCTCATAGCAGGACCCCCTAGGCCCCCTGCTTCCACCAGATGCCCTAAAAACTCTCCTTCCACTGCCACCTTACGGTGCCTACATCACACCAAGATAAGGCTGGCCAAATTACCAATTAAGGAAGAACTTTGGCAAAAATAAGATTTCCAATTCCAGGCTTATAAGTTCTGTTGTTAAGGCCAGAGAGTCATTTGCTAGCTCAAGTAAAAGCCCCAACTAGTATGTGTTCCCTTGCCAAAGTCTCTGTCAATACTGAATCACATCTCCAGCAGAGGGAGAGCATGGTACGGTGGGGAGTACACTGGCTTCAGAGTCAGAAGATATGGGTTCAAAAGATGCCTCTGATGCTTATCACCTGCAGGAGCTTAGGCAAGTCACTTCTTTTCCTGGGCCTCAGTTTCCCCCCCCTGCAGTCCCTTCCAGCTCTACAGTTGTGAAATAGACACATTCCCTTTCCCATTGACAGGCAGAATCCTCTTGTAAGGAAGGCAGGAGACTGCCAAACCTTTGCTGAGGCTTTATCAAACAAGATCTTGGAGTGGTGGGGGATGCTACTGCCTCAGGTGTGAGCTGGACCAGGGGCCCTTTGAGCTCCCACCTGCCTCGGAGATTTTGGAAGGTGCCTACTATATTATATATATTATATAATATATAGTACATACTATATAATATATAGTATATTATACTATGTAATATATAGTATATACTATATATTATAATATACTATATAATATATAATATACAGAATATTATATATACTACCTGATTGTGGAATTTGATACTCAAGTCTTCTTTGGTGGATACCCACACCTGAACCCTAATTGCACTTTATATGCTGTTAGAAGGCCACCCTCCATGTTCCCAAGACTTGGGGAAATTTCTAAACTCTACATGCTTAATTGCCTATACCCCACCTTCCCCTAGGCCCTAAAGAGATGTGCACTTTTTTTTTTCAGATAAAAAGCGACTTATAGGGCAGCTAGGGCTAGAGTATTGACCCTGGAGTCAGGAAGACCTGAGTTCAAATCCAGACTCAGACACATAATACTAGCTGTGTGACTTGGGGCAAGTCACTTAATCCCAATTGCCTCACCCTCCCCCCCAAAAAAGTGACTTAAAATAACTTCATTTTGAGAACCTTTTCTTCCTCTTTGAGACAATGTGACAGATGGCGAAAATGGTGGACTAGCAGTTGGTCACTGCTACCGACACATATACACACACACACACACAGAGTACACTATAACACATATTTGATAATAGTTCTCTATATAGATACACCATAAACGCACTTTCTGTGGACACTTACGAGCTAAAACTGCTTAATCCCCTTAGCAAGGAAAACCAATAGCAAACTTTATTAGCAAATAGTTCAGTCTTCAGTCCCAAGGGTTAAATAGGATTTTCCAGAATGCTTTAGGTGGCCTGGGCCTGGAGGGCAGCAGATTTGTGAATTCAAACAAAATAATGACATCCAGACCGATTCTATTTATTTGGCACTAATGGCACCAGGACTGTGTTAGCAGTTGCAGGGAGTGTGATATATGAAACTCTGAGCAGGCTTCAGGCGGTTTGAAGGCATTAGAGGGCTAGGGAGATAGACCCCCAAAGGGAAGGAAGAGGGTGCCCAAGAACAATCCTGGCCCTTTCAAATTTCCCAAGGGTCTTGGGGGTAACCAACCACTGCTCTCCTACCCATTTGTTATACCTGTAGCCATGTGCCTGTAGGTCCACTACGAAGCACTGTAGGCTGGTGAATGAGGGGAGAAGAGTGGCCCCAGGGCTAATACCCAGAATGAGCCCAATGACAAAAGAAGGGCCTCTTTTTTTTAAAGCCATGTTGGGGATAGCTAGGAAGAGGCCAGTAGGCCTAATGCCAAGACCACATTTCAACAAAGATGATGAGAAATCAGAGTGGAGAACAGGAGAGTAATCTGGCTAAAGAACACGTAAGACTGTTAAAGACTAGAGAAGAAAGGAGAGAGGGGGCAGAGGAAGTGCTAGCTAGCTTCAAGTATTTGAAGGGAAGTGGCAAAGAAGGATCTGACTTGGTGTTCTGGCTAAACTAGGTGCAGTGAGTGGAAGCTGCAGGAGGGCAGATTTTGGCTCAGTTGGAGTTGTCCAAGATCAGAATGGGCTGTCTCCAGAGGTCAGAGGATCACAGGATTAAGAGACAGAAGGGACCTTGGGGATCATAATCCAACCCTCTCATTTTACAAATGAGGAAACCAAGGCTCTGACTTGCCCAAGGCCATCCAGCCCAGTGGTTACTCAGTTGCTACTGGGACCAACGTCTTCTGACTCCATGTCTAGCATTTTGCATGTCCTTGAGTGGACACTGGATGACCTCAGTGTTGCTGGGAATGCTGATTCCTGATCAGGTATGATGGTACCAAGATTCAGTCAGATGCCTCCTATATACCCAGTCACTGCATCCCATACAAACGGCAGGCCTACCTGCCTGCTCCCATTGTCCTGCCTGCCTCTCTGAACCTTTAAAGGAGATGTTCATGTGATTTGCATATGATTTGCAAGGAGGAAGACTAGCCCTAAAGGGAGGTGAGTTCCTCTCCCCCTGCCCTCCAGGGTCATGCTCTCTTGGGGGTGGGGGTGGGGCCCAAGTGTGGAAGGTGGGAGACAACAGTGTCCAAAGCATCACCATAGCAACTGGAGAGCCTTTAGGGTTCTGAGGAAGAATTAGGCTAACTTCTGGAGTGGTTCAGCCAGAGGTGCCAGGGGCTAGGCCGAGTTCCTCTTTCTCCCATCTGTATCTATGGGCCGCCTCTATGCTCATTTGTGGGGCAAAGCAGGGAGACACAGAGGTCTAAGGAGGTTTAGCCAAAGAAGACTAGCAGGTCATAACTTGTGAGCCTCCCAGGCCAGGCTTTGAGGGAGGATGCCTGGCCCCACTTCAGCCTTTCCCAAGGCTGTGTAGAGGCAGCTGGGGGCATCACAGTGTACAGAGCCCTGGGGCCTGGAGTCAGGAAGACCTTGGCTCAAATCTGATCTCAGATACTTACTAGCTGTGGGACCCCAGGCAAGGCACTTAACCCCTGCTTGCCTCAGTTTCCTCAACTGTAAAATGGGAATCATAACAGCATCTACCTCCCCAGGATTGTTGTGAGGAACAAATGAGAAAATATTTGTAACAAGTGCCTGGCACATAACAGGTGATGATCAAATACTTATTCCCTTCCCTTCCCCACCCTTACGGAATGATGCCTACGCTCAAATTCTTCCTGCCTGTTCATTGGCCCCAAATCGAAGCCAGGCCTGGAGGAAGATAAGCCCGGGGAAATTGGGGGGAAGGGAAAGGGGAAGGGGGTGGCAGGCCCCGGGGAGCCCAAAGAGGAACGAGAGCAAGCATAAGGAGGAAAGGAGGAGCAAAGCGTCACAGGTAACTGTCTCTCTCTTGCCCTGAGTTCCCGACCCTGACAGTGACCTGGACTGGGAGCCGGACAGCAAAGACGGCCTCCTGCCCTTCTCACCTTTGACCTGAGATTCATAGTCAGTCAGCGATCCCCGCTCCTTCCTCAGTTTGCCGTGAGAGGCCATGGCCGTGACCGGGGAGACGGCGATGGCAGGTGGTGCCTTGGGACGGGTATTGCTGCGGGGAGCGGAGGCTGGCGAGCGCTCCCCGCCTTGGCCGAGGTCGCCACTCCGTCTCTCCGACGGATAGAACTAAGGCTTCGGGCTCCGCACGTGCTCTCGCCGGGGAGAAGGGGGGCACGCTGGCCCCAGAGTGCCACCGCTGCCTGCCAGTCTGTGCACCCTGAGCAGGCTCCCCTCTCTCGCGGCCCCGGGTCTGCCCCTCCTCGGCTCAGCACCCAGTGGGGCCCGCCGAAGTCAGAGAGAAAACAGAAATGAGATCGTGGAGGGAAGCAGGGGGAGGGGAGGGCAGGGGAGAAGAGGGGGAGGATCCGGGGCCCAAGAGGGGAGGGGCAGCCGGGAAGATGCTTAGGCTTTGGCTTGTCCTGCCCGATGTGCAGCTAGTGCCTGCGAGTGGCCGCCCCCTCTAACAAGGGTCCGTGGCTGGGGCACTCACTCTCACTGTCTCTTCCCCCACTCCCAGACACACACCCCGTTTGCTACTCAAACCTTGCCGTAGGGCGGTTGAACCAACTCCCCTCCCCCCCACACACCCCCACAAACCCAGTGGCAGAGGTGGAGACCCGCTATCAGCCCCTGGGGGGGAAGAGGACAGCATAGGATTATTCCAAAGCGTTGGAGGCACTTTCTTTTACTGCCCCGGACCGCAGTTTGGGGTGACAGGAGAGATGGCGTGCAAGTTGATGTGCCCTTTGCCACCCAGTGCCCCCATCCCCCTTTGGGGGGTGTGAAAAGCTGCTTTATTTCTGTCTTCCCCGCCCCCCCCTCCAAGGTGGTAACCACTTCCTGCCAGCGGAAGGAGCTCTTCCGCCTCCTCTGACAACGGTTGGGGCCCTGGCCCTCCTCCTAAGTGGGAGGGGGAGAGGAAGGAGGGGGCAGAGAAGACTGCTGGCCAGGGGGCACCACACAGGACCCTAGCAAAGTGGCTGAGGCCCTTTAAGGGCATAAATAAGTTGGAGAATTCCTCCCCAACACTCCCACCCCAGGACCCCAGCCCCATCTCAACCACTCTCCTGGGCCACGAGGGTTAGAATCAGCCCTACAGCTACCCAAGACTGGGGACGAGGAGGGAAGGAAGTCTAGATTCAGGCACAGAAGGACCAGAATGAGCTCGCTTCCCGGTTCCTCTGACTGTGAAGGGGATCGGGCCGTGTAAGAGGTGAGGGGGAAGGAAGACGGGAAGGCAATGAGGGAGCACAGAATGAACCCCACACGTTTTGTGTTCCTGGAAATCTGTAATCAACACCATCAACCACAAAGGGGAACCTCTTCTCCCCGCCCCTGCCCACGATCAGCACTGCTCAAGGACGACCCCTTCGGGGCCCCAGGCCTTCATCCGGAGGCCCCCTAGTGGCGAGCAGGGGGCAGCTGCTCCTCCAGGACCCCCAGGCCTTGCAGGGCTTCCATCAGCTGTTCTCGGGCCGCACCTATGAAGGAGTTTTCCAGGAAGGCAGGGAGGCCTCCGACCCCATCCCGAAGCGTGTACAGAGGCACTCGCACGAGCCCCAGCACCTGCGGAGACATTGGCAGAGGAAGGGGGGTGGGGAAAGGGAAGGGAGGAGACAAGTGACTTGAGGACTCAGGGCTCCGTCCTGATCCAACTACCCCCCAGCTGAGGGCGGGAGGGCCAGAACGGGACAGGAACAATGCAATAGACCTGGCCAGGGGCCGGCCAGCCTGTTCTAAGATCTCGAGAGATAAGCACGTGGGGCCCCGCTGCCCCTCTACTTTTGCACAGTCTAGTATTTCTCCTGGAGCATTTCTCCTGCCTCTCTCCGACTCCCCCCTATTGCTCTTAGATCTGCCTTCTGGGACCACGCCAACCAAGCCCAGTCTGCTCCCTGCCCTCAGACTCCAGGAGAGCCTTCTCTTCTCCAGAATGTATCATCCACCCACCCCCCATCCTTCAAAAGACGGTCATACGGGATGACCTAGAGATCATCAGGCTCTAAAGCTATCGGGGAGCTTGGGGCCTATGGCCTGAGCTCGACGGGATACATAATCAACCAATCAGACAGTGGGAAGATGGGTTGGATCCCACCCTCTCCTCGATAGCCAATAGTGGGACTCGTCTCCAGCACAACCTCTCCTACCCTCAGCCCCCACCACTTCCCCATTTTGCCCCCTCCTCCGACTATGTAAACTCCCAACCTCCCCCTTCCAAGTTGGGCTCACAAGGTAACTAACTCTATTCGGGTACCCACAGGGCTATCAGGAAAATCCCCTTCCCCTAACCCCAGCTTAAACGTTTGGGGCCTGTATCCCCATACCTCCCTGCCCCGGCAGGTGAGTCCAAAGGGCAGGGACCAGCAAGAGCCCCACCCCTCATCTTTTCTTTTTGGGTGGGGCAAAGAGGCTCCGTGAATAGCAGATAAGGATGGGCTGCGATCTGCATCTCAGATCGCACTGCATTATCTTTCCCCCCAACCCACTCTTCTCCCAGTCACCCAGGTTCACAATCTCCAAGTCACCCTCCCTCACCCCACAGAGCGGTCAGTTGCAGGTCTCACCATTTGTACCTTCACAACAGCTCTCCCATCTGGCACAGCCACCACCTTAGCTCTTCTTAGCCCTGTTCACCTCTTGTTCTCCCTACCTCAAGTCTCTCTCTATTCCAGTCTACCCTACACGATGCTACCAAAGGAATTTTTCCCCCGCTCAAGTTCGGGAACTGACCACGTGGCTCCCCTACTCAATAATTAACTACTATCCTCTCGTTAGTTTTTAAATCCTCATACAACATGGCCCAACCTACTCTCTAGCCTCATTGGACGTGACTTCCCCTCCTGAAGTTTTCGATCCAAGCAGACTGGCTTTTCTGTTGTTCCTACCTCACAATACTCCATCCCAGTCTTTGCACTGGTCAGACCCTGCGCCTAGAATTCATTCCCTCCTTCCTGTCACCTGACTCCCACTATCCCTTTAAAAAAAAGAGGGGCAGCTAGGGCGTGCAGTGGATAGAGCACCGACCCTGGAGTTGAGAGGACCTGCATTCAAATCCAGCCTCAGACACTTAGTAGCTGTATGACCCTGGACAAGTCACTTAACCCCGATTGCCTCCACCCAAAAAAAAAAAATTGCAGGTCAGACAGCATTTTCTGCATAAAGCTTTTCCTGATGGCCCCAACTACTAGTGCCCTCCCTCCCTTAGTACCTCATATTTAACTGTGTGAATGTGTGTATATAGATATCTATGTGCTTTATAGATTCTTATCCATACTTGTCTCCTCCATTAGAACAGAAGCTCTTTGGAGGAGGGATAGTTTCATTCTTTGTACCTCTATCCCCAGTGCCTTGTACAGTGCCTGGCCCATTAATAAGCACTAAATTAAATTACTGATTGACTGAATTACTTTTCTGTCTCCTTGAAAGGTTCCTTGTCCTTTTACTGACCCCCTGATACACTTCCCCGAGGGTCTGGCTAAGCCTTGGGATTTTCCCTTCCCTGACTATCTTATTCACTCTGACAGTTTCAATGGCCACCTCCTTTCAGATGACTTGCATCCCACCTAGACCTCTGAGGCCACATTTGCTATTCCCTAAAGGAGATTTCCAAATGGCCCAAACAAAGCACATCACTTTGTCCCCAAAGAGTGCTCCTTCTTCCTTCTGTCTATGGCACCCGGTCTCCCATATTCATTAAATTCACAAAATCCCCCAGGCCACTTAGCCCAGCCCATACCTGCGAGGGAATCCCTTCTAAATCAAAGTCAAAATACTCACAAACCCACATGCCTACTTTCCCATCTCTACAAAATCTTGATAAGGATAAGCCAGAAGGGAGCCTTGAGGATGCTATGAGAAGGAAGGGAAGTGGCAGGATTTCCGGAACAATATTCTTCAGCCAGTAACATCTTTATGATCACATAATTGACTGGATGATGTAGAGAAAAAGAGTTTCTCTTGTGCATAGACAGGTTTGTTGAGTTTTTTACTATTTTTGAAGAAGTGTTTGCCCTGATGGCTGGGGATTGGAAGGTGTAAATATCCTGTGTGTGCTTCCTGATTGCATGTCTGAGTAGTCACACCTGTAAACACCTGTTCAAAGGAGTTTCCTCCCACTATTTCAAGGCTTCCCTGCTCATTGGAGAAAAAAAAATGTTTTGGCATTAACATTGTTGAATTACACTGAAGGTGACATGGAAAAAAAGAAAAAGTGCTTCGCTCTTTTTGTGGTGGCAAAGAATTGGAAATTGAGGGAATGCCCATCAGTTGGGGAATGGCTGAACAAGTTGTGGTATATAATTGTGATGGAATACTATAAGAAATGCTATAAGAAATGATGAGGAGGGGTCGGAGCCAAGATGGCAGAGTGAAAGCAGTGACTTGCTTGAGCTCTCCCCCAAACCCCTCCAAATACTCATAAAAAATGGCTCTAAACAAATTCTGAACCAGCAGAACCCACAAAAAGACAGAGTGAAACAAATTTCCAGCCCAAGACAACCTGGATGATTGATCAGAAAGATGTATCGCGCCGGGCTGGGAGCGCAGTGTGGGCGCCCAGGCCACTGCAAACCTGGAGCAGGCCTCAGAGGATTGAATAGCGGGCAGCTGTGGAGGTTTCCAGACTCCTCAATCCACTAATGCCAAAGACAACTTAGAAGGTCAGTGGGAAAAGTCTGTTTCTGTTGGTGGTCAGAGAGGAAGGGCAGGGTTTCAGCTTCCATTCCCCAAGAGCGCGGCCCTGGGGAGGGGCCAGCTGCTTCCCAAGCTTCGGGCCCACAGACTGAGGGGGAATCCAGTGGCTGATCAGAGAGGGACTGCAGGAATCTCTTTGCCAGTGCTGAGGCAGGAATCTCTTGCTTTGCCCGTGTGTGGATCTGGGTCACAGTTCTGGGCGGCAGTGCTGGGGTGAGGAGGAGCGCTGGCATGGTGGAGCTTGTAGTGGCTGTGGAGAGGAACCCCTCCTCACAGTTATGGGACAGAAAGGAATACTTGTGGTCACAGGCCAGGAAAGGAGTAAACACCTCGCCCCTTATCATACCACCTTGGAAGAACTGAAAACTTACAGGTCCCTACAAGTATCTCTGAAAACAGCTATACAAACCCCCGAAGCTTGGGACAATACATTCTCCACAATGGAAGCAGACTCTTACCTTAACAAAGAGTTTAAAACTCAAGTAATTGGCCAGGATCATGAGCAAGCAGCACAAAAAGAGTCAGACCATAGAATCTTACTTTGGTGAAAAAGAAGATCAAAATATGCAACCAGAAGAAGACAACAAAGTCAAAGCTCCTACATCCAAAGCCTCCAAGAAAAATATGAATCAGTCCCAGGCCTTGGAAGAGCTCAAAAGGGATTTTGAGAAGCAAGTAAGGGAAGTAGAGGAAAAACTGGGAAGAGAAATGAGAGTGATGCAAGAAAATCATGAAAAACAAGTCAACAGCTTGCTAAAGAAGACCCAAAAAAATACTGAAGAAATTAACACCTTCAAAAATAGCCTAACCCAAATGGCAAAAGAGGTCCAAAAACCCAATGAGGACAAGAATGCCCTAAAAAGAAAAACTGGCCAAATGGAAAAGGAAGTCCAAAAGATTACTGAAGAAAATACTTCCTTAAAAATTAGGATAGAGCAATTGGAAGCTAGTGACTTGATGAGAAATCAAGACACTGTAAAACAAATCCAAAAGAATGAAAAATTAGAAAACAATGTGATATATCTCATTAGAAAAACAACTGACCTGGAAAATAGACCCAGGAGAGAGAATTTTAAAATTATTGGACTATCTGAAAGCCATGATCAAAAAAAGAGCCCAGACATCATCTTTCAAGAAATTATCAAGGAAAACTGCCCTGATATAGTAGAACCAGAGGGCAAAATAGAAATTTAAAGGACCACAGGGCATGGAATATAATATTCCAGAGGGCAAAGGAGATAGGATTACAACCAAGAATCACCTACCCAGCAAAACTGAGTATAATCCTTCAGGGTGAAAAATGGTCATTCAGTGAAACAGAGGACTTTCAAGCATTGCTGATGAAAAGACCAGAGCTAAATAGAAAATTTGACTTTCAAATACAGGACTCCAGTGGAACATGAAGAGGTAAACAGGAAAGAGAAATCATAAGAGACTTATTAAGATTGAACTGTTTACATTCCTGCATGGAAAGATGATATTTGTAACTCATGAGAACTTTGTCAGTATTAGGGTAGTTGAAGGAAAAAAATTATATGTATGTATAGATAGATAGATAGATAGAGGGCACAGGGTGAGTTGAAGATGAAGGGGTCATATCTGGAGAATAAAATTAAGGGATGAGAGAGGATGATACTCGGAGAAGAAAGGGAGAGGTAGAATGGGGTAAATTATCTCACAAAAAAAACCCAGAAAAGTGTCTCACAGTGGAGGGGAAACAGGGGAAGGTGAGAGGGAATGAGGGAATCTTATTCTCATAGGATTTGGCTTAAGGAGAGAATAATATACACATTCAATTGGGTATGGAAATCTGTCTTACCCTACAGAAAGATAGGGGGAGAAGGGGACAAGAGAGCAGGGGGATGATAGAGAGGAGGGCAGATTGGGAAAGGGGGTAATCAGAAGCAAATACTTCTGAGGAGGGACAGGGTCAAAAGAAAGAATAGAATAAATGGGAGGGCAGGATAGGATTAAGGGAAATAGAGTTAGTTTTTCACAACATGTCTACTATGGAAGTGTTTTGTATAACTGCACATGTACAACCTATATTGAGTTGCTTGCCTTTTCAATGAGGGTGGGTGGGGAGGGAGGAAGGAGAAAATTTGGAACTCAAAGTTTTAAAAACACATGTTTTAAAAAATGTTTTCACATGCAACTGGGAAATAAGAAATACAGGAAATGGGGTACAGAAGTCTATTCTGCTCTACAGGAAAATAGAAGGGGAAGGGGATAAGAGAAGGGAGGGGGGAGAGATAGAAGAGAAGGCAGACTAGGGGAAGGGGTATTCAGAATGCATGCCATCTTGGGGTGGGGGGAGGGGTGAGAAATTTGGAACTCAAAAACTTGTGGAAGTGAATGTTGAAAACTAAAAATAAATAAATTTATATTTAAAATAAATAAAAAAAATAAATTTTAAAAAAAGAAATGATGAGCAGGTGGACTTCAGAAAAACCTGGAAAGACTTATATGAACTGATGCTGAGTGAAGTGAGCAGAACCAGGAGAACATTGTGCACAGTAACAGTCACACTTGTGCAGTGACTCACTTTGATAGACTTAGCTCTTCTCAGCAATATAAGGATCTAAGACAACTCCAAAAGACTCTTGATGGAAAATGCTATCCACATCCAGAGAAAGAACTATGGAGTCTGAATGCAGATCAAAGCATACTATCTGCTCTCCCTCTCTTTTTTTGGTTGTTTTTTTGTTTTTTGTTTCTTCTTTCTCGTGATTTCTCCCATTGGTTCTAATTCTTCTTTACAACATGACTCACGTGAAAATAGGAGGGGAGGGAAGGGGAGAAAATTTAGAACTCAAAATCTTCTGGAAGTGAATGTTAAAAACTAAAAATAAATAAGTAAATGTGTTTGCTTCAGTAGAGGTCTCCCCCAGCAAAGGGTCTTCCATACACACATCTCACAATCAAAAATTATTCTCTCAGGGCAGTTAGGTGGCACAGTGGATAGAGCACTGGTTCTGGATTCAGGAGGACCTGAGTTCAAATCCGGCCTCAGACACATAACATTTACTAGCTGTGTGACCCTGGACAAGCTTAACCCCATTGCCTAGCCCAAAAGAAAAAATTCTCTGAAAGGTGTAACAACAGAAATAAGTCTACTAAATGACCCTGGGATTATAAACATCAATAGAGTTGAAGAAGGAAACCCTGATGTGATCTTTTGTCTCTTCCTTCTCCTCTCACCTCCTAGCAGTTACCAGACCCAGTCAATTCTGTCTCCGAAATCTTGATTTCACCCCTCCCTTCTTTTTCACCCATTCCCACTGTCACCAAGCTAGCCGAAGTCCTCACTACCACTAGCTTCCCTCAGGGTTTCCCCAACTCTGTAATTCCATCTTACTCTTAGATCTTAGATCTAGTCATAATACTCCTCTGCTCAAAAATCTATTGTCTCCCAAGTAAAGCTCAAACTCCTTTAGCTGGCAGGACTGAAAAAATCTCCCAAGCTAAAAAGGGCTTCAAAGGCCGCCAGATTCAGGCTATAACTGACCAAGAATCCTCAGTGGGGAATTCTCCCCTCACTCTTGGTGAAGGGGCACTCACTACCTCCAGGGTCACCCCTTCCACTTTGGGATGGCTCTTATTATTGGGAAATCTTTCCTGATACGCTGTAATCATCTGTCTCTTTAGGTGGACTTCCACCCAGCATTCCTGGTTCTCTTCTCTGAGCTCAAGAACAGGTCCCTTTCACATGACAGCTATCATTCCCCCCACCCCCACCCCAACCCCTTCTCTTCTTCTCTCAGTCTTAGCAGACTCAGATCCATTTTCTCCAGTTCCCTCTCCATCCTAGTTGTCCTCCTCAGGATCCCAAGCCTTCCCAAAAGGCCAAAGCCAGAGGCAGCAGAGCCTGTCACTTCCCTAGGCCAGGGCACTGACCACCTCTTTAGGTAGCCCAGGGTGGCTCTAGCTTTTCTGGTTGCCAAATCACTAAAACTACCAACCCTTCCCCAACAGAAACTCCTGCCTACCTATGCTTGTCTCTCATGCTATACTTAGGGATTGTCTTTTAAAACTCAAGTACAGCACTACAAATTGGGCTTAGAATCAGGTAGAGCTGAGTTCAAATCCTGTTTTCAATGCCCTTATTAGCTGTGTGACTCTGGAGCCTCAGAAACTCCAAGGCGTCAATGATGCTAGTGGTGCTGTGTTGGGGGAGGCAGTCCCCCCCCAAAAAAACGAATTACACATTCTTAACCTACGGACATTAGATTCCATTTTATTAGTAGGTTCGGCCCATCTTCCCTATTGAGATGTTCTCACTCGGAGACTCTTGTCTCCTAGATGTTAACTGCTACTCCCACCAAAGGATTTGGGTGCTTTCATTCTCTAAGGCACTGATTAAAATGCTACACCATGGGAGGTCAGGCACAGATACATCCCTTGGGTACTCCCCCCAGAACAGCCTGTATCAGATTAAAATGGAACTGGGAAATATTTAACAAAACACATACAAGTACAATAGAAGACAGATAATATCACTTTTTCAAACTAAGCCAATATACAGCCCACAGGGCCTCCTATGTACAGATTAATGGCTCCTGTTTCTATCTGAGTGTGACACTCCTGATCTAGGCCACATCTCTCCTCTTCATCTACAAAGGAGAGCAGAAGGCATTTTGTCAAATGCTCTGCTAAAATCTTGGCCAAAATCTGTCTGCAGATAGATCTACCTATCTCTCCCCTGTTCTTCCATTCTCGTGACCCTGTGGAAAAAGGAAACGAGAAGGGGTCTAGTGTGGCCAGTTCTTCATGCTGATGCTTAGAGATCACCACTGACTTTTCTAAATGCTCACCAACCATTCCTTTAATAACATAGCCTGGGAGTTTCCCAAGAATCCACCAAATTCACCAGCTGATGGCTTGCAGACCCCACTCACTGCCTTCTTCCCTTTGTAAAAAATTGGACACGTGATCTTCTCCAGGCCAGCGGCCTTGTCGAAGTATTGCAAAGTTCACACACAGGGTACTTTCTGTACCCTGAGATATGGTCTCACTTGGTCTTGTGACTTGAACTCACTGAGGGCTAGATATTCCTGTACTTATCCTGGGTTTCAACTCCTTGTTAACCATTCGGGTGCTAAGTCTCTCCAATCCAAAGATCATTGTCCTTAGCAGAGAAAATAAAGGTGCAAAAAGTAAATAATTCAGCTTCCTCCTCCCTCTTCCGCAGCATCTGTTAACATTGTTACATGAACTTGTCCTTGACAATGCAAGTTAGTGTCCTGTACCTCTGATGGATTCATCCTCCATAACCCTGGCATACCATACTGGGCATACAAGGCCTGTCACAACCTTCTGTTACTTCATGTTATCCCCCTACACACACTCTTCTGTGCCAGCCACACTGGAGAACTTAGCATCTCTTCTCCCCAAAGAAAATACCTTGTGCTCTCCTGCCTCTGTGCTGTGCTTGATTCTTCCCAGAATGCCTTCCCTTCTCCATCTTCACCAGCTGCAGCCAAGTGAGACACCACCTCTTTCAGGAAAGATTCCCCCAACCCCTGTTCCACTTAGGACCTGGTGTTAGAACTCCCCTGAGGGCAGAGGTCATGTGTTACCTTAACTTTGTACCTGGTATCCAGCAAGCACTTAATAAATGTGGCATCTATGGAGTCACTCCCCCTGCACCCACCTTCATTCAAGCACCTCGAAAGCCTCCAAATGAGCCTCTTTTGCCAAAGTCTAGGAGGGAGGTGATGAGGGCCAGGGCCAAGGTGGTGTCAAAGTCAGTGGAAAGAAGAGATGTTACAGAGCAGCTAGGTGGAGCAGTGGGCAGAGCACCGGCCCTGAAGTCAGGAGGACCTGAGTTCAAATCTGGCCTTACACCAAACACTTGACACTTACTAGCTGTGTGACCCTGGGCAAGTCACTTAACCCCAAATGTCTAAAAAAAAAAAAGAAAGAAAGAAAGAAAGAAGAGAAGAGATGTTACTAAGGGAGAATTAATAAGGCTTGGCAACAGATTCCATAGGTGACTAGAATGATGGTGGTGCCCTCAACAATAAGAGGGGAGTTTGTAGAGTGGAGGGTCTAATGAGCTAGGCTATCCCATCCAGGCTTGACAGATTCATCTTGTCAATGCACACATCTGACCACATCTATCAAGACCCCTCTATGGTTCCTGTTGCCTAGAAGATAAAATGCCAACTCCTTACCTTGGTTCTACAAATTGGCTCCAAACAGCCTTTCTTTCCAGCTTTCTCTTCTTGCTCTTCTCCTTCAGCCAGCCTGTCCCAGGTGGGTCTCCTCACTGCCTCTATATACCTAACCACTTCCAAGCCCTCAAAGCCACCATCTGCTCCCACTGGCCCCGACCACTATCCAGACTGCTTCCCGCCCCAACTTCCCCTTACTCAGGCATTCCGATTCCTGGGGCCAGCTCAGACCCAGGAGGCCGCAGAAAGAAGCAGCCTCAGTGACCATCCAGCCCAACCTGTATCTGACCTCTGATAAGGTACTCTTTCAGCTTTTACTTGAAGACCTGGGGGGTGGAGGGTGGGGAGGGGGCATTACTCCTCAAAGCAACACATTCCACCCACATCCAGATAATTCGATCTGTTGCAAAATTTTTCCTCAATGAAATCTAAACTTGACTCCACAATAAGAACTGCTTGTCTTGTCAAGTGGACCTTCATCTCTTTTACATCCCCCTTCTCTCTACCTATATCACAACCAGCCTAGTTCAGGCCCCCATCACCACTCTCTCACTCTTGTCTTGTGTCTCCCCTCTCCAAGCCAGCCTCCCCACCCAGCAGCCAAAGTGGTCCTCCTAAGACACGGGTCTGCCCACATCACTCCTCTGTTTACAAACCAGTACCTCTAGGAGCAAATACCTTCAGTCTGGAATTCAAAATTCTTCAAAATCTGACTCCAACTTTATAAGTCCAGACTGATTTTGCACATTATACTCCCCTTCATTCCCTCCCATCTCCAACTGTCTAATGGACATCTGGAACTGACTAGCCCATAGACATCTTAAACTCAACATGTCTGAAGCAGAACTCTAGCTTTCTCTGGCAGACAGGTGGCTCAGTTGATAAGCAATGGCCCTGGAATCAGAAAAACCTGAGTTCAAATGCAGACTAAGATATTACCTGTGTGACCCTGGGCAAGTCACTTTACCTCTGCCTGCCTCAGCTGCCTCATCTCTAAAATGGGGATGATAAGGGGGCAGCGAGGTGGCCCAGTGGATAGTGCGCCGACCCTGGAGTCAGGAGGACCTGAGTTCAAATCTGGCCTCAGACACATAACACTCACTAGTTGTGTGACCCTGGGCAAGTTACTTAATCCCATTGCCTAGTAAAATAAATAAATAAAATAAAATGGGGACAATAGCACTCACCTGCCAAGGGTGTTGTGAGGATCAAATGAAATGTTATTTGTAAAGTGCCACGTAAATGCCAGATATCATCATCACCCCCTCTTAAACCCTCCCCTCTTCCTAAATCCCCTTTTACCATTGAGGGTACCACCATCCTTCCAGTCACCTAGGCTCTCAACTCGCCACTCCCCATATGGAATCCACTGCCAATCCTGTTGCTTCTTCCCTAGTAACATCTCTTCTCTCCACTGACCCTGGCACCACCCTGGCATGGACCCTCATCATCTCACTCCTACTGACTGGTCTCAGTGCCTCCAGTCTCTCCCTACTCCAGCTACCCTACATATTCAGCTCTCAACTCCCTTCCACATACTCTGTGACCATGTAACCCTGGCCACCCCACTGCTGCTTTCACAGGACACTATAGTGGCATTTTCCCTGGTTGCCCATCCCCCATGCCTGGAATGCCCTCTCTTCACCTCCACCTTCTGGCTTCCTTCAGATCCCAGCTAAAATTCCATCCCCTGAAAGAAGCCTTTCTCAGGTAGGTCATTCCTCCTTAATTGATTATCTCCATTTCATCTTGTTTATACATAATCATTTGCTAGATTGTGAGCTCCTTGAAGGCAGGGATTGTCTTTTACCTGGCTTAACACCGTGCCTGGCACATAGCAGTCACTTAAAAAATGCACGACTTGAGTTGACTAGACCTGACCAGAAGCATTCTCCTCCTAGCCAAAGTGACCAGCTTGCAGTCCCTTGAACATGACGTTGCACCTATACATCTTTCTACAGGTTGTCCCCAGTACCTGGAGGCTTTCTTTCCTCATCTGTCTCAGAATCCTCAGCCTCAAAGGAAGCAGAGTTCAAAAGTCACCTCTGGTCCCTTCCCCCACCCCAATTTGTAGGCATCTGTAGGGATGCTGTTTCTACCCTAGTAAAATATAAGCTCCCTGAGGGCAGCTAGGTGGCGCAGTGGATAGAGCACTGGCCCTGGAGTCAGGAGGACCTAAGTTCAATTCTGGCCTCAGTTACATAACACCTACTAGCTGTGTGACCCTGGGCAAGTCACTTAACCCCAATGCCTAGCAAAAAGAAAAAAAGAAAAAAAAAGAAAAAGAATATAAGCTCCCTGAGGGCAGGCCCTATCTTAGTTTTTGTGTTGTTTCTCTGCAGCCTGAATACTTCCGGAAAGCACTAGAACCGAACAGGAACTGAACTGCTCCAGGCTCTGCCCTCAGGAGTCAAGCAGAACAAGCTTAACTGTCTGTCAGACTGGGAGGACGGCTTTTATCTCAGCCGAGTGGAGCTGGGAGGGTCCCCATAGGCCAGATGGTCAAACCTGTCCATACTGCATACAAAGCAAGAATCCCTCCTTCCTCTAATCTTGCAGAGGAGTGTGGTCACTTGACCTCAGCCTGACCGACCTTTCTAATGAAAGGGAACACCAAGGCAGCCCATTCCACACTTTTAGATAGGTCAAATGGTTAGGAAGTTTCCCTTAAACCTGACCCTAAATCCACCTCTCTGCACCTTCTCCCCACTCACTGGCCCTGGTTCCCATGCCCCTAGCCTGGCCTATTCCTCTTCCACAGGCTAGCCCTAAAGACATTCAGAGACACAATCCTCAGATCAATTTCACTATTCTGCCCCCTCCGATTTTCCCCTGACTGCCCTAGCCACTTCGGGGATTTGTTCTGTGAAGTTTGGATCCTGCCAAAGGGCCACACTTGAGGACCTAGAGGGCCACACATGGCCTCGAGGCTGCAGGTTCCCCACCCCTGGGGGTTCTGAATTTCTCACCTCTCCAACTGGTCACAGCAGAACACAGGGGCTTGGACGCCCCAACTGCTTTGTGAACAAGGGCTGAACAACTGATCTCACCGGCCCAGTCCCTCCCCCCATGAAGAACACCAAGTGGGTCAGGGAAAGCAGACTGATTTTAACAGCTGCAAGAGGGAAACAGAATGACAAGCTCCTAGATTTACAGCTGGAAGGGACGTCAGAGGACAATCCAAGCCAACCCCCACCTCATTTTACAGAGGAGGAAACTCATGGCAGATAGAAATGAGATGACTTGCCCAGGGTCACACAGCTAGTAAAAGTCTAAGGCAGGATTAGAACCCAGGTCTTCCTCACTCCCAAATCCCAAACTCAATTCACTATCTCAAATCCAGCATCACAAGACACATTCCAAACACCAAAGTTCATGAATTAGGTGAGCACTTTAGGAACAATCCCCATAAGTAATGGCATTTCCATAGTGAGTTGAGATTTACGAAGTACTTTACATACATTTCACCCAAAACCCCACAAGGGGACCCTAACCAGGATTATTATAGCCCTAGTCATCTATTTAAGAGCTATGGATAGGGTGCTCGATCCTGGAGTCAGGAAGACTCCTCTTCCAGAGTTCAAATCCAACCTCAGAAACTTACTAGTTCGTGTGAACCTGGACAAGTCATTTCACCCTGTTTGCCTCAGTTTCCTCATCTGTAAAATGAGCTGGAGAAGGAAATGGCAAACTATGCCAGTATCTGTGCCAGGAAAACCCCAAATGGGGTCGGAAAGAGTTGGACTCGACTGAAACGATTCAACAATACTCCAACAGTCCCATTTTACAGATAAGAATTAGAGGCCAGTGGCCATGAAGTGATTTGCCCAAGATCATGCAGCCAGTGAGAGTCAGAGGTGGGATTTGAACCCAGGTCCAGCATTCCTTCTACTGGGCCATGCTGACTCTGACAGATAACTGTGAGCAGATCACATTACACACTTAATTGGGCTGGGCAAGAGGGCAAGCTCCAGCCTTGGGCGGGCCTGTGCTTTATTCTGATCCCTCTACCCTGTAACTTAACACCAGTCCCCATTTGGGCTCAGCTGCATGCTGTGTCTCTGGCTGAAGGACCCAGCTCCAAATGCTAGAAGCTCTGTCACTGACTCAGTGTGACCCTGGGCAAGTCACAACCTCTCTAGGTTTCAATCCCCTCACCTGTAAAATGTGAGGATGAGACCAAATTATTTTTAAGGCTCCTTCTGATCTTTATCGCTATAACATGGCTATCTCGATCACCAGGGGGAAGTGGGAGGTGAGTCTATGAATGGCTTATTATGAAGGTATAACCCAACCAGCACAAAAAGAATTCCATACTGGGCTGGGCCTAGATGGGGGGGGGGGAACCTTCGGCCTAGAGGCCACCAGTGGCCTTCTAGGTCCTTGGGTGTGGCCTTTTGACTGAGTCCAAGTTTTATAGAACAAGTCCTTTTATGAAGGGGATTTGTTCTGTGAACTTTGGATTCTGTCAAAGGGCCACACTTGAGGACCTAGAGGGCCACAGGTTCCCCACCCTTAGCTTAGAATTTCACAGACCACCAGCAGAGGAATACTAACCCAAAGGGAAAGGATCTGTGCTTTCTCCTCCAACTACAGACTTTCAGCACAGGAATGGGTATGTTCAATGACTTTCCCCCCAGAGCCAATCAGCTGCCAGGT